GATTTTATAAAATCATATAAGAATAAATAAAATAAGATAAAATAAAATAAGTCCCCCACTCTGTGAGCATTTTCTTCCAACCGCAGAAATAGTCACTGCTTTCACAACAAAAGCGGTAAAGTTCTGCGAAGAAGAAAATGTATTACCATGATTTGGAGACTAACCGACTAAGTAGCGCGCGCGCGCAGCGAGCGGGGTACTTAAAAGCAAGCCCGCGGACTCAGCGACCTACGGGAGGCATCTCCCGTCACGCAGGGTGCAGTAGCACCTCCACAGATCTCCAGTATCATCTATTGATACTGGTAATGGCTCAAAAGGGCCACCACTTACGGGCTATTCATGCCCGTGCCACCTTTTGGGTGGCTTAATCTTTATCAATCAATCAATCTCAGCGACCTCTCGCTCGCCTCCGCCTTGCCAGATACACTACAAAACGCCCACCCTCCTCCCGGGAAACCCTGCTTCCCCGGTTTTACTTTCCAAGGGAAGATATGCTAAAGCAGTTTGCTGGGGACATTTGTTCCATCTTGCAACGAATTTGTGTTACCTTGGGGGTGCTCCGACGGAACCCCCAAAGTGATAAGCCAAGAATACCAAGAATTGGAATTACCGTAAATTCAATCTTGCAACTTTCAATTAGAGATCTCTCTTCATTGTATTTGATCATTATAACGGCTATCCATTAATTTTATTCTGTATATTAATTTATGGTTATTCACTAATCATTATTAGTCACCATAATTAATTCCACTTTAATCATCTATTTATTCGTTATAATGAGCTATTATGCTTCTTCATTTAAGGATTATCAATTATTTAATCATTAATGATGACTATTATTATTAATTAATTATTTGTATTTAAATAATTAATTATTATTATTATTATAAAATAAAATAAGTCCTCCACTCTGTGAGCGTTTTCTTCCAACCGCAGAAAATAAATTTACCCAACTAAAGAGCAACATTAAAAAAACTTGGAGCACAATTTCACAAATATTGGGATCAAAGAAGACTTTAAATAACAAACCAACATTCCTTTCCAATAACGCTGGTCAGCTTTCAGCCTCTGATTCTGCTATTGAGTTCAATAGGTTCTTCTCTTCCATTGGGTCATCCCTTGCAAATGATATTCCATCTTCCTGTACTGATGTTAAGGACTATCTTACAGGTAACTATCCACAGTCTCTGTACCTAAAGCCTACTAATTCCAGTGACGTTAATGAGATAATCCTTTCCCTTAAAACCAAGTCTAGTGCCCTTGAGGAGATACCAACTTTAATTTACAAAAAAGCCTCCAGATCTTTAGCCCCTGCTATTGCTTTGCTCTTCAACTAGTCACTTGACCTCCAAACCTTTCCAGATATTCTAAAAAAAAGCGAGAGTAACGCCTGTCCACAAATGTGGTGATCTCACAGATGTTAACAACTACAGACCTATAACAATCCTGCCAAACTTGTCAAAAATATTTGAAAAAGTAATCTACAAGCAGCTTTACTCTTATCTAGCCAAACACAATATACTTAGCTCTCCGCTGCCCACTGGATGGGGGGCGGTGTGCAGGACAAACATATCAATTGTGACACTAGCTCTCCACATATGTCAGTTGCTTAATTTAGAACCTGTACTTGAGGTCGATCTCGAACCCATTGTTGATGTGACGACTTATACTGAATTTTGTAACTAGCTCATCAAGATTGTAACTTGCTGAGCTAAATGAATTGTGGGGTTCAGTCCCTGAGCCCATTATGTGCCTCTGTAACCCTTTCCACTACCGCCCACAAGATGGGTATGGGGTGCATAATAAATGAGCTAAACTAACTAAAACATAGTTTATTGTTAACTAACAACAACCACAAGGTATCAGGGGCCAGATTCACGAAAGCACTTACGCAATCACTTACGAACCTGTACATCTTTTCTCAATCTTTGGCGACTTTGTTTCCAATTATTAAACAGTTAATGAGCTCCGAAGCACCAGGAGGCTGTTTATAACTATAACAACAGTTGAAAGGGAAGTTTTCATGCTTGTAAACTGTTTAATAAATATAACTAAAACCGTCAAAGATTGAGGAAAGATGTACACGTTCGTAAGTGCTTTCGTGAATCTGGCCCCTGGTACATAACTTACTATTTACAAGATTATAAACAAAAGAGCATCTACTCAAAACATGCTACACTTAACATCTGTAGTACTTAATCCTGACACCTTGAATATGTCTTATATTGTTAATTAAATATCCCTTTTACATAACCCAACCTATCAATTAATGTTCTATAATTTACTTAATGAAGAACCCACACATAATCCCTAACAGTCAGGGCCTATTACTACCGAAATACTTAAGTGACTGTTCCCCGCATGAGATTTTTTTTTTGTTTTTTTTTTTGAGATATATACAAGAGTTGTTACATTCTTGTACAGCCACTAGTACGCGTAGCGTTTCGGGCAAGTCCTTAATCCTATGGTCCCTGGAATACGATCCCCTGCCGCGAAGAATCGTTTTAAATAGCATGAATATAAAAGAACCTTATCTGACCCTGGGGTTTCCTGGCAGAGCCAATTAAGAACCCAGGGTCACAACACTCCTCCCCCCTTCAGAGAAAAAAATGTGGCTACTAGAATTGTAGTCCTATTATTTGTAAGAGCGTACAAAGAAAAAGTAGTCAATAAAAGAAAATTAAAAACAAACAAAATTATCTGAAAGAAAGACACACAAAAAGGGGAAATAATTATTTTGACAATGAATATTTAATGTCACAGGAGAACTTAAAAAATAAAATAAACATGATAGTTGGTTCGTGGCTTCCTGTTGCTCAGATGTATGCTACTCTGGCAACCGGGATGACGCATCAGCTATCATGTTCAGCCGACCTGGTAAGTAGATTAATTATGGTTAGATTGAAGTCCTGCAGGTATAATGCCCACCTGAGGATCCATTTATTTCTCTCTTTCATCTGATGGATAAACACTAGTGGGTTATGGTCCATATACACTTCCACTATATTAGCCATGAGATATACTTCAAACTTTTGACAGGCTAACACTAGCACCAATGTTTCTTTTTCTAACACTGAATAATTGCACTGAGCCTTGTCAAATTTCATAGACTAATAGTTCACTGGATGGTCCACTTGATCATCCCCAGTTTGCAACAACACTGCACCAGCACCCTTGTGCGGCAGCACCACTACGCACGTGTGGCAACACCTCGCACGTGTGGCAACACCTCGCACGTGCGGCAACACCTCGCACGTGCGGCAACACCTCGCACGTGCGGCAACACCTCGCACGTGCGGCAACACCTCGCACGTGTGGCAACACCTCGCACGTGTGGCAACACCTCGCACGTGCGGCAACACCTCGCACGTGTGGCAACACCTCGCACGTGTGGCAACACCTCGCACGTGCGGCAACACCTCGCACGTGTGGCAACACCTCGCACGTGCGGCAACACCTCGCACGTGCGGCAACACCACTACACCTGGTGGAGTTGCCCGCGTTGTTGAGTAGATTAGATACACAGTGTTTAGTGGGTTTTCATATTTATTTAGTAGTCCTGGATACAGCAGTGTCGTGGACGTTGAGACGGAGCTTGGAGCAGAGCAGAGAGTTGAGTGTGGCCGGAGTCGCGGCCCTATGTGGGCGAGCGTTGTAGCTCGATGTGGTCCTAGTCTGCTGCCTGATCTGTGTCGAAGCTGTAGCGTCTTGTAGACGATTAGAACTGCCTACGCCAAGTGCTACATTCTTGACTAGAAATTGTACTGTTTGCTATTCGATTGATTGATTGATTGATGAAGATTAAGCCACCCAAAAGGTGGCACGGGCATGAATAGCCCGTAAGTGGTGGCCCTTTTAAGCCATTACCAGTATCAAGAGCTGATACTGGAGATCTGTGGAGGTGCGAATGCACCCTGCATGACGGGAGATGTCTCCCTTATGAATGTGTTAAGATGAAGATGAAGCAACCCAAAAGGTGGCACGGGCATAAATAGCCCGTAAGTGGTGGCCATTTTAAGCCATTACCAGTATCAGGAGCTGATACTGGAGATCTGTGGAGGTGCGACTGCACCCTGCGTGACGGGAGATGTCTCCCGGACCAAATGGTGACCAGATAGTAGTTTGCTATTCCTCATATCGCTTGCTTATATAGTGACACCTCAGCTTCCTCCAACAAGATGAGAAGAGTATTACCTGTAATTGGGGAAAGGATTGTAGCTTCTGTAATTAGTGCTTATTAGTTATGCTATTAAGATAATGAGATAATGGAGCGATTATAAGATTACCTCGCTACAAAGTAAATAGCCGACAGTACAATTTTCATAGTCAAGAATGCAGCAATCGGCGTATGCAGTTCTAATCGTCTACAAGACGCTACAGCTTCGACACAGAACAGGCAGCAGACTAGGACCACATCGAGCTACAACGCTCTCTCATATATAGAGCTCCACGTCTCCGGCCACACTCAGCACGTCCACGACACTGCTGCATCCATGACTACTAAATAAATATGAAAACCCACTAAAAACTGTGTATCTAATCTATTCAATAACGTAACATAATCGTACGTTACACAGGTGTTTTCTCCCCTGATTCCATGTATCAAATCAAATCAAATCAAATGTTTATTTAGGTAAGGTACATACATACAAGAGATTTTACAAAGAGTGATGGATTTATAGATAGGGCTAGTACATACAATACCTAAAGCCACTATTACGCAAAGCGTTTCGGGCATGATAAACTTAAATGACTAAAGCTTAATACTAATTGAGCATAAAGAATAAAATGAGTTGAGAACAAAATCCATCCTGTGCCATCCATCCTGTGAGATGGGAATGTTAGATGAATTCACAGCTAGTCTTTGATCAACACTGTGTAATCTCTCATGTATAAGTGTAGCAGCACATTGCTGTGTATACCTAGGCTTGTTAAAAAAAAAAATACTGTGTAATTTTGAAGTCGCAAACCAAAGAAAATGTAGAGCTGGCACCGGGCCAGAAGCGACCCACCTGACGCCTTACCAACAACACTCTTCACCACCTGAACAAAAGATCGTGCTGCCACAGCAAATTAAACTTCGTAGCTTTTAACACAAGGAGGAATAACCAACAATTCCACCAGGAACAGGAAAAGAATGTGGGAGAGGAGGGAGAGAAGCCATTCAATGCATGTTTCGTAAGGAAGAGAAGTGTAGAAGCAGTGTATGTTGGAATTTGGGCAGAGTAGGTGGTAGCTATTTACCCTTTTTGTTTTTATTATTAACAAACATTGGTACAGAGCTGTGTGCTGGTTCCCTAATAAATGTACAGAGCAGTGTGCTGCTTCCCTATTTTAGGTACATAGTGTTGTGCCTCCCTATTATAGGTTAGTAGTCATCTTGTCCCTGACAGTGAGAAATTATATCTCTTGATGTGCAGCTGATGTGGAAAATTATATACTTCGTAGAGACCATGTATCTAAAGTTTAGCACAACAGAATAACACAAACTAGTGGTACTGTATATTCTATTCCTATGCCTTGTGCACTTGCTTGTAATAAAGTTTTTTTTTTTTTTTTTTTTTTTTTTTTAGATATATACAAGAGTTGTTACATTCTTGTACAGCCACTAGTACGCGTAGCATTTCGGGCAGGTCCCTGGAATACGATCCCCTGCCGCGAAGAATCGTTTTTTCATCCAAGTACACATTTTACTGTTGCGTTAAACAGAGGCTACAGTTAAGGAATTGCGCCCAGTAAATCCTCCCCGGCCAGGATACGAACCCATGACATAGCGCTCGCGGAACGCCAGGCGAGTGTCTTACCACTACACCACGGAGACTGTGACGGTTTCATTCACATTTCTCAATGGGGGGGGGGGGGGGGGGAAGATCTTGAGTGTGGTTCCTGGGCAGAGCAGAAATGGTTGGGCATGTTTCCTGTCACCTAATGCCTCTGTTCACCTAGCAGTAAATAAGTACCCAGGAGTTAGGCAACTGTTGTGGGGTTGTATCATGGAGAGGCTCAGTAGTTTAACTTGGGGGGGGGGGAGGGTGCGGTAGAAAATTATTATATTTATTTATTTATTTATTTATATATATACAAGATGGTACATTGGGGGTTAACAGAGAATATAGAAATTAAGTTGAATTTACATTCTTGTAAAAACACTAGCACACATAGCATTTCGGGCAAAAAGCATATAAGCATTTTAGTAAAAAAACAATTATGGTGTTTCAGAGTAACTTGAAGTTTGTCTTATGAATGGACGAATAACTCGTGTCACGTGGTGCAAGTATAACAACTCGGACAATAAAGAGCAATATGCAGGGAAAATGGATGATTTTGTGGTGTTACAGTAGAATATAAGGCAAGCAGACATGGACTTTTCTGGTAAGTAATTGTTGTTATTAGTTAAATTTGATAAAAACTTCTTCAAGTACTCTTATACATATTCAGTAGTTATAAATATATACATACTGTATATCTTACATAAGAATATCAATATTTCTGTATTGCATTCTGTAACCAATATTGAATTATGCAACCTTAGTGCTTTCTTTTGATATTTACTTAAAATCTGTAACTGGTTTTGAAAGGGTAATGTACATGGTGATAAATACGCTAATACTTAAGATATTTAATGAAGTTTAAAAGAGTTATATCTGATCTAATACCGGTACAGTGTCAGCTGACATAGTTGTGGAGCTCCTTGAGGTTGCTATCAACCTAATACTCTACACCAGGGAAATTTATCCTCAATCTGTTTTTCAAAGAAGGAAGAAGTACAGCATCCCTGTACAGGTAAACAAAATTGTCTTTGCTATGTTCATACTCTTAGGTTAGATTTGATTGTTCTGGTTTTATTAAAATGATTATGCATTGAAATGTTTAACATTTGTCTGATTAATTGTACAGTATAACATTTGGTTGTGCCTTAATATAAGCTCTGCTGTCTCATAAGAATGGTAGTCACCTGCGCTCTAGTAATTCTAAGCCTAATTTGGTTAATTAACATTATATATCCTCACCTAATTTGATTTCATCTAATAGTGTGTAAGCCCAAAACTGAAGACATTTGTGGAATATGCAGCATGGTAGCCAAATGAGTTTTTATACTAATACCTCTGTAGCTGTATACTCCATTTATAATTTGTATATTGAAGATGTGTGACAGTATATACTTTTCTAAGCAGTTTAATGCCTTATCTTTCATGCTACATTGAATACCACTAGAGGCTTGAACAACTAACCAAGGTGTCGGGTAGCAGAAGAGATGTTGCTAGTTAGGAACCAAGAATGTGTATTTCCATCTTATTTGCCTTATACTTGTTAATATTTTGCAAACAATCAAGCTTATCGAGCAAGACTCTAAACACACAATTTTGTTAATGTTTGCCAGTAAAACATTGATACAATAGTAGTAATAACAGGAAATTCCATAAATGTGTTATTTATAAAATAAAATGGAAAATTTTAAAATTTTATTCAGTCTTTGTAAGTGAAATAAATTTTAATGTAAGCTTTATCTTTGCTCAGTTTTAAGTCTTCCTACTCATTAACTGGGCTTGTATTATGTGGGCACTATGTTGAAGGGGAAATTCCTAGGGATATTGTGGAAGGAGGGAGAGTAAAGCATCTATTTTATACCATATAATACTATACTGTGTTTATAAATACTGTAATACTGTATATTGGTTTTCTTCAGATGTGTACTCACCCAGGGCTGCGGTCATACATTAGCGAGTGTGTGGGCTCAATTCGTCCTGTTCTGGAGAAGGGTGAGGTAGAAAAAGTTGTTGTGGCAGTGCTATCAACAGAGGGAGTCCCTGTTGAGAAATTTGTGTTTGAAATTGTGCAGCAGCCAACTAAACCTCATGATATCAAGTATGTTTAAGTATTCATGTTTCGTTTAGACATTTTAAAATGTAAAATTTGGTTGTAATTAAATTTTGTGAGAATTTCTACATTGTTTTTCCTGCATTAAGTATATAACAAATTAGGCTTTGAATGAATATGGAAAGCTCTTCCTGAGCAAGATGCTCAGATGCTCCCTGGACCAAGATCCTTTGTGGTCCCATTAGACATGATCATACCAGCTTGGGTGACATTTTGTACCTGCTTAACTGGAATATTTTCAAATATCCTTGTCGGATCATACTGGTGATAGGGAGGTTCTAGAGAAAAGTTAAATCCAGTCAAGGGTGCTTTCAAGATGACCAGCCGAACACTTGAAACGTGAAAAAAGAAAGACAAGTTACTTCTGTCTGTTGAGAAGCCAGAAGATATGAGTGCAAGGTAGCAATAAGACAGAGGGCATGATGAGCTCGAGCAAAGGACCAAATTGGGCCGAATCAAGATAGGGTCCTCTTTGAAACAGCATACTGCATTCTTTGCTAAGAAGCTAGAGTTAGGATGGAAATGCAGAAAGATGTTTCTATGGCTGAAAGTGATAATCCAAATTTGTAAGAATATGAAGCTCACTTACCCAGACATCTAGAGACTAGGGTGAGTAAGAACAATGTCTAGAAAGTAAGATTCTTAAAGAAAGGAACAACTGAATCTAATCCAAACATAAAAAGTTTAACACACTAAGGGAGAGATCAGGTAGGTTCTAACAGAAAATGTAAAAAAAATGTATTGTATGTGGAAAATGGCCAAACCAAGTTTAATGAAGAGATGACGGGAAATATCGAGGCTGAAGGTGGGTGAAGGGGAAGGGTGAAGAGGCTCCGCGTGAGCCACCCAATAGGAAGCTCTTGTGTTAGATATATTCTTCATTTTCATAAAAAGCCAAGATTAGAGAGGATGTCAGTAGTAAAACAGAAATGGAACAAGACTAAGTGCAGTACACAGTTGGAGATCCCTCAAAGTCACCTTGCACTAGTGGTGAGAGGAGGCTCTTAAAACATTGGATGAAAATCTACCAGCAGCTTCCTGTAGAGATGACAGATCTCCCTCCAGAAACTCTGCATGTAATGATTGGTGGAAGGCCTTGAAGTGATCATATAAGAGTGAGGCCCAGAAGAGAAATAATGAATTGCACTCAAAGCCATAATAAGAGGAACTGAAAACCCTCTTCCCAATGAACAAAACCCGGTCCTCGACCAGGCCTCCTCTAGAGACTTAGAGGCCTTCCAGAGACTGAAACTCAAAAACCTCCAATCAGATGCAGCGAAAGGAAAACTTCCCACAGGAGATGAGACACTTAAGCACTTGGTGTAAAATACCATAAACAAGCTAACTGTAGGAAGGGGAAAAAAGGCACAAACAAAATAAGACAATTTCAAGAACTTTCCCAGTGCACAGTACCTAGAGGCCAGATATACTGCAACAAAGAGAGACACACATACCCAACTGAAAGTGATCTGAGTCCAGAGTAGATTCCTGGACCCCAGTATGCAGCAGGAAACCCACATGGCATGTACTGAAGGAAGACAAGACAGAAGTATCAAAATATTGACCCCAAGAGGGACATAATGAACCAACTTTAGGCTGGAAGGACAAAACCTCTAGTGGAGAGAGGAGGAACTGAACTTGAAGCCAACAATGTTGTTTCATTGTCTTCAAAAGGCAAGACTCAAGTTTTCTAGGACCCGTAGCATGAGGAGATAGGGAATCCAAAGCCTAGGAACAGACACAGAAGCTAATTAAGTGACCCCTTTTCCCTAGTTGAGTGAACTATAAGGGTTAAACATCTTGTAAGTTTCATATCGAAAGGAGGCTGAAACAGTTGCTACCAAATGACAGTAAAGAACACCCGTCTGAAGAGTGACCTCTAACCCAACAGGGAAAATGTTGTGGGGGGCAGTAAAAATTATCGTCGTCAGGGGCAAGGGATGTCTGTTGACAATATTCCAAGCAGTGCCAAGCCAATCCTCAGTGTTGGTTCATTGCAAATCAATGATGTGTGTCGGCATCAACTTGGGTGGACCTATGGTTCTGGCTAGGAGAGCAACCAAAGGACCCATTCTCAGTAAAAGACTACAATTTTATTTAAATTGTGTGTTTTTAGATATCTTAAATGCTTCAACATGTAATTTTATAATACTTGACAAGTTTGTTTTAGTTTAGCAAGTGATATGTTATAGGGGTTAGGTTGATTTATATTTCCTCTAGGTATGTGGTACCTGGTAACATTTACCCTAAATAGGAGATTTATTAAATGCTTTCACTAATCCTACAGGAAAGATCCACAGTTGTTGCGTATGGAAGAAGCCTTGAGAGCCTTTTGCCTCAAGTTGAGCATCAGTGACTCCCTCCTGCAGCCATTGCCCCCAGGCTGCTCCTTTGCCATTCATATCCACGTTCCTGAACATGTACCAGGCGCCATGAGTTCAGGGCCTGAGTATCAGGTGAGATAATGCCTTGTTGCTTTATTTGGTTGTGCTTTTAGAATGGGATCAGATTACAAACAATATGCATTCCAAAAAGGTGTTTGTAAAATTTCTTACAGGTGTAGATAGAGAAAATGTTCTCAGACCCCCAAAATCATCATATAATTCTGGGGGAGCCCCTTCGGCTCCCTGGAGCTATCCGGGCTGATATAAATGTATTAAACCCTGGCATCAGTCAAGTGAATGGAGTTCTTAGGCCTACTGGGGGACCACGAGCCAGAACCTGGTCCCCTCAGAGAGGACGATGAGCAATGGCCTATAGAAAACCCCCATGTGGTTAGAAGCATTCTATGTCTGCCATTGACCGGGCCAGGCACCCAGAAAGGTAGGCACTCCAAAAACAAACCCTATCTGGTTAAAATATTGCTACTGAAAGCCAAACTGTTGGACAGAACTCCTCCGAATAAAAAATGAGCAAACAAACATGTCACAACCGTCACTGCGTCGCTATCTGCCCCCTCCCTGGGAGGGGGAAAGGGGAGCCCTAGACCCCAATGCTGGCTATCCACACCATCAGTTCTGTGGCTGATGTGAGACCTGGTGGTCGTGCGACTCTGGCTCCGAATCTTTTTCAGTGCTGTGCCTTGTGGTGTGGTCCTGTCCAAGTGGTGGTGTGCGAGCCAGTAGGTTCACTTGTACTCAGGCTGCATGCGCCTAGGGTTATCTTCCCTAGGTGCCCTGTAAATACTGTCCTTGGGGCTTGAGGTTATCTTCCACAAGTTGCTTGGGGGCTACCTCCTCCGAGGTCTTTTGCTGCTCAGAGATTGCCCGCCCTTGGGGTCAGCTGGGGTGTTTCATGTGCCACTGTTTATACTCTGGGTAGGCAGTAGTTTCATCACTGGTACTGTGACCAGCAAGGTACAAGTACAGGTACTTTATACTTACAGAGCAAGGTACTGTGTAGCTTGTTTTCACCATAATACAGTGGCCGGCTATGTTCCGCCTGGGTCGTTGTGCTCTTGCGTGGTTTTTCTTTTATTTTTGGTTTTCTTGCCTGGTGGGGGGCCTGCATCTTGGTGTTGGTACCTATTATATTGGTGGTCCTCCACTAGGTGCCTGTGAGTGTACATGTCCTGGGGGGTTCAGGTTTTAGCAGTTTGTTTGGTAGTTTGTTGTTCCGGTTAGTAATACCTTGCCTGGGCTTCCCTTAGCAGAGCATCTAGGGCCCCTAGAAAACCCCACTGGGGCTCAGTGGGCCGATGGATGCGTCCCCTGGGTCCCATCTCGCTTCGTGCGAGTTTGAGGGTTGCTCTGTCCCTTTGTCTCAGGGTGACAATCACCTGTTCTGCCTCTATCATGCTGCCTGTTTGGTCGGTGACTCCTTCGACCTGGAGTTCTGCAAGTGATGTTACTTGCATGTACTCCGTTTCACCCAGGCCACTGATGAGTTCCCTTGGGTACTTCAGTTCCTTCTTTCCAGAGGTGTTTGATCTCCCGCATCCCATCTCATGAGGTGCGGGAGGCCATTGTGGCTTACCTCCTGCGCGACCCGCATTACACCTCGATAATGGTTCCTGCTTCTTTCGAGTTCGGTTCTTCTTTTCCTTACTGAGTGTGTTACGAGGTTCCAGAATTGTCCTGGTTGGCAGACAATCCTATCCTTTCATTGGGGGTGTGGCATGCGTTCTGTTGGTCCCGCACGCTTGAGTGGCGAGAAGCCTGTAAACCTGTACAGGCGAGAAGCCTGTAAACCTGTACAGTTGTACAGGTTTACCTGGGGAGCGAGTTTGAGCGCCTCAGTATGTGCTTGTTCGCCCCTGCCCTTCCTCGGGATGTTGGGCTTGTACAGCTTCACTTGCAGGTTCCCTCCCTCTCGGATGCCAAGGCCAGTGGTGCCAATTTTGGAACCGGCGACGACTGGTCAGTGTGGTGATCGCTCTGCTCGTAAGTTGATTTTGCGTCAGGAGTGTCAGCCTTTTCGGAGTTCATCCCATTGACGGGGGGTTGGGGGGGGGCTCACACTTCTTGCCCATGCCTGGTCCCACAATTTGTGGGCGTTTCGGGTCATATCTGGTAGCCTGCGATGGAGTTTGGTCACTTTGACTTCGGGCCCCTCCCCTTTCGGGGAGTTTGGGGCTGGCAGGGGAGGCCTGCCAGCCCCGGATGTCCACTCTGTCCCAGGTCCGGCTTCTCTTGGAGCCGGGCGCTTGGATGGTGTCCCTGGACCTCCAGGATGCATATTGGCATGTCTCGCTTAGTCCGGGGTTCAGGGACTACTGGCTCTGTTTTTGTTGTGGGGCGTTAGGCTTATCGCTTTTGTTGCCTTCCATTCGGCTTGAATCTGGCACCCTGCGTGTTCATACGCCTTCCCCGGGTTGTAGTGGCTCGTCTGTGTACTTTGGGTTCAGGTTCTGGCCTACCTCAACAACTTGCTGGTATGGGCTCCCAGCCAGTCCACTTGTCTGCTCGCCGGGGATTTGGTTCTTTTCCAGCTCGCCGGGTTCGGGTTCCTAGTGAACTGGTGAAAATCCCATCTGGTTCCTTCTCAGGTTCAGTCTTGACTGGGTCTTGTGGGGGACTCTTGGACCACTTCCTTGTCTCTCCCTCCATAGTCTCTGCTTTGGCTGCAGTCCTGCCCTTGCCTGTTTCTGGGGGGCTCCCGGGTCACCTGGTGGTTGCTCGAGGGTTTGTGCGGGAGCCTCAATTTTGCCGTAATGATCTGCCCACCAGGTCGAGTTTGGCTTCGTAGGCTGTTCTGGTTCTTTCGGGGACTTCCCTTCTGTCTCTCTCGCAATTGGGTCAGTTTCCGGGTGCCTTGCGTCGGCTGCTGCGTCGCTGGCTTCCTCTTCGAGCTTTTGGGGGTTTATTGCCTTGGGGCCTACCCGAGCCCTTGCTTGATGTGTCCACGGATGAGCAATCTCTTGGCTGGGGCTTTGTGACCAGTGCTTACCAGGCCGACCAAGGGTCCGTCCTTCCATCTGGCCCACAGCACGGTGCAAGAGTTTGCGGATCGACGATTCGGCTGCTCCCCTGTGGTTCATTGCCTGATTTGTGGGGGTTCAATGCAGTCCTTGGCTCTTTGGGGCTGGTCGCTGAGGGTGACACGTCTGCTGAGTTCTCAGGGTATAGCTCTCCTGGCTGTTCACATTCAGGGGTATTCAACATCCTGGCGGACAACCTGTCTCGGTTCATTCACCTGTCCACGGAATGGACGTTTGATGCCAACTCGTTCAGTTGGGTTTGCCGGATGAACGGGCTCCCGGAGGTGGACCTCTTCTGCGTCGGCTTGGTCGTGGCGTCTCCCGATATATGGGTGCCTTCCCCGACTGCGAGGCCGTTGAGGTTGATGCCTTTAGGCAGGACTGGTCAAGGTGGGGTTACCTATACCTCTTCCTCCCGGTTCTGCTGTTGCTCCAGGTTCTAGCTCCCTTGGAGTCTTACCAGGGCCGAGTTGTCCTTCTGACCCCTTGGTGGACGGCCCAGCCATGGTTTCAGGCGCTGCTTGTTTGGTGTCCGAACCCATGGGTCTTCCCACAGCTCCGCCGCTTTGTTCGTTTACAGCCGTCTCCTTTTCTGGCATAGATTGAGACTGCTGCTTTCCAGAGGGATCCCTTGGGTTGTTGATGCTTGGTTGGTTCGGCTGGAGGTGCATCGTGTGTTGTGTCCGGTTGTGGCTCTCCGCTGGTACCTGAGCGCCACGGCCTTGGTAGCCGGGGACATGCTTTGGGTTGATCTGGTTTCCCTTCTTCCCTGTTCCAGGGTTCGAGTCTCCCGGGTCGTCTGCTGGGTAAATTGATCCAGCCAGCCTGTGGTCTATCCTCGAGCTCATGACATTCGAAAGTTTGCTCTTTTTTCAATTGGGGAGCCGCCTCCCAGGTAAGTCCCTCTTGTTTTTGTCTTTTGGTAAGTAGCTCCGGGGAGCCGACGGGGCTTCCCCCTAAAAACAGCATTGAATGTAATGAAATGCCATTTTCTGGGTGAGACCCGGAGACTCCCGGCAACCCTCCCTCCCTCTGGTTGGCAGTTTTTCACGTTTTTTGAGATTGAGCCTCAGAACTGGGGTGTGGATAGCTGGCGCAGGGGTCTGGGGCTCCCCCTTCCCCCTCCCGGGGAGGGGGGGAAGCGACGTGGTGATGTCATACTCGTTTGCTTGTTTTCATTTGGGGAGTTCTGTCCCCAAGTTTGGCTCTTAGTAGCAATATTTTAACCTGAATAGGGGTTTGTTTTTGAGCGGTTACCTTTCTGGGTGCCTGACCCAGTCGATGGCAGACATAGGATGCTTCCAACCACACGGGGGTTTCGATAGGCCATTGCTCCTCGTGCCTCTCTGAGGGGGGCCAGGTTCTGGCTCGTGGTCCCCGGTAGGCCTAGAAATCCATGCACATTGACTGATGAAGGGTCTGATGCAGGTGATGAGTCACAATAAGTCTCCGTGGTGTAGTGGTTAGACACTCTCCTGGTGTTCCACGAGCGCTTTGTCATGGGTTCGTATCCTGGCCGGGGAGGATTTACTGGGCGCAAATCCTTAACTGTAGCCTCTGTTTAACTCAACAGTAAAATGTGTACTTGGTTGTAAAAACGATTCTTCGCGGCGGGGATCGTATTCCAGGAACTTGCCCGAAACGCTACGTGTACTAGTGGCTGTACAAGAATGTAACAACTCTTGTATATATCTCAAATAACGTGGCTAAAGTATGTTGACCAGACCACACACCAAAAGGTGAAGGGACAACGACGTTTCAGTTCGTTTCGGTTCTTATTCCTACTACTATCCCCTCTACTACACCTTACCTTGCTCCTCACCTCTCTCTTGCCTATTTATTACCTGCATCTACTTCCTCATCACAATCGACTTGAGAATGGTCCAGGACGGACCGAAACGTCGTCGTCCCTTCACTTTCTAGTGTGTGGTCTGGTCAACAAGGGTCTGATATGAAGGGTCTAATACATTCATATCAGCCCGGATAGGTCCGGGAAGCCTCTGGGTCTCGTGCAGAAAATGGCATTTCATTACATTTAATGCTGTTTTTTTTATTTATATATTTATTTATTTTGAAGATTACTAAGTGTTATAAATAGTATTGTGGTGGGCTTGCTATGGGGGACTTGGTACTATTAAGGGGTAAGGGTAGTTAGAAGACAGGAGTATCAAATATGGGAGAGCTAAAAGGCCCGGCCCCCAAAATAAACTATCCACAGTAATAATACCTTGCTACTAGACCATATATGTCAGTCTAAGGGTTGATCAATGCACTTCCACACAGGAAGAAGGGATACTCCTATAATTCATGTACTTATTTATTAACCCCTTAACAACCCCCCCATATACACTCACACCAATAACAATAATAATAATAACTTTACCACCCTATCTTACATTAAAAGCCTTGGTCCACAAAGACAGGATACAAGGTTTACACTGAGAACAAGCTAGGGTAAAGTACTACTGGATAAGCACTGAAGCTGGATGCAGCTTAGGGTAGTGAGACCACGTGGTACCCTAATACAAAACACAACACTTAGGGTACCCAAAACACTGGCAAATACTACCCCCAGGTCTCACCAATATTTACTACCAGAGTAGGTACACTTAAAACGCCCCGTACTTAACTTAATGGTACAGGAACTTCAGGTAAGGGAAATAAGTAAGAGGAGAAGGGAGGAGAGTAGGGGTGCAGCCACAGAGTAGGTCTCGTCCCCACGAACGCCAGCCAGAGAAGAACGCTCCTAGCGACCAGCTAGGCCTCCCGCATGTCGTGGTGCCGGAAGGAGCCTAATTGATCGTGCAGCTAAGCACATTAAAGATCTTCCCCTATGCAACGTATTGTTACTTTACAAATGATTAGAAAGTATTAGTAAGCAAAGTTGGTGCCTATGTTATTATTTAATAATCAACCCCCAGCTCAGTCTTTAAATGCTCTTTGAGAAACAATAATAGTCTTACGTCTGGCAGGGAAGATACAGACAATGACGCATAGGGTTGCGTTCAGCTATACTATAGTTAAGTTTAATAACTCAATTTTGACCTCTGGTTTCCACTAAAGAACCCAGGGTCGTAACACTAAGTATTGTATTATAGGCCTATATTATATTGACTCGATATGTAGTTTGTTTGCTTGTGTATTGATAGCCCGGAGTTTGATTGCTACAAATCATAGCTAAATATTTATTTTTAATTATACAGTAATTACAAAATACAGTACTGTAATTAACTGTGTTTTTTTTTATAACTGAAGAAAATAATTGATGTCCCTACAGGAGTTTCCATGGGTTGAAGCTGAAAAGGAGCAGACCGAAGTTGACGACCCACACATTGTGCCTCTCAAGACACTGAGGACAGAAGTGTGTCGAATGCAGCTGTACGTTGAGGAGAGCAGCAAGAAACAAGGCTCGGATAAATGATGTATTAAGATAGTTGATGCATCGTAACATAATGTATACTCAACAAGGCTAGGATGACTATTATAAGGTGGAGTTGCATTTGAGAGACTTAGAGTTTACAATGACTACATTGTGTTGAGCAGTATGAAAAGTGTGCTTATAAAGTGCTGTATAGGTGAGATTTAGCTTAAAGCTTTTCAGTGTTCTTCCATTCATTTTTGTAATGAAATTAGATTTGATATTCCATTCACCTGGGCTCTAGGAGACTCGATCCGCGGATCCCACGTGTGTGAGGCCAAAGTTCTATTGACCGAGCTGTTGAGGAGTCATAATAAGGAAAGTTTCCAGAAGCAACATCCTGCTGCCAATCTGGAATTTATATGACGCAGACATGGATCACTAATTGCTCTGAGATTCAGTAGTAGTCAGGGGAAAGTCGAAGATTCCAGTTTGTCAGCACGATGTTGCTTTTGTAAACTTTCCTTATTAAGACTACTCAACAGCTCGGTCGATAGAGCTTCAGCCTCACACACGTGGGGTCGATGGATCGAGTCTCTTAGAGCCCAGGTGAATGGAATGTTTATTTCCACAGAAGTGTGGATGACAATTTTTAGATTTGATATATAGTATTTAGGGTCCTTTTATATAACGAATGGTGCTCATATAATTCAAGTCTTCCCATTTATATTGATAACATTGTTCAATGAAATTGAATTAGAGAACATTGTATTTATTTGTATATTTATTTATTCAGTACCCCACCATGTGCTCCGAATTTCAGAGAAATAAATATTTATGTAATTTTCCATATCATTAACCTTAGTATATACTGTATTTGTCCTGGGAATCTGTTAGTCATCCTGTCCTAATCAATAGGTAAAAAAAGAGGGTTTATTTATGCTTCCGGACATCTCTTGGCTATCAAGGTAAGAAAGAAAAAAGGTACGTGAATGATGGGCTGAAATGTCACCCCTTTCAATTATTTGCTTGTATGGTTAGATTACCTGAATTTACCTGAGTACCACTATTTATCTAATGGCCTCAACAAAGACAGGAAGCCGGTGGCTTGTCAGAGGTCCCATCATTTGTCCTGATGATTTTATCAAGCTGCATTTTGAAATTCAGCAGTGTTTTGGCATTTACTGTATTTGGCATTTTATCTGTTTCAGCCACACTGTGACATTCACTGCCACTATTAACATTCTTGGCTGCTAAAATGTAGATTTTGTCCTTCAATGTCACGATTCTTCTGTAATCATTGTGAACCAATATTTTTGTACAGTAAGTAACAATTTAAATGCTCATTCAACATAAACAGAAAAAAGTCTTGAATGTTTAATCTTCCACGAGTCATTAAGTGTTTTATTCTTGTGGATGGGGAATGAAGAATATTTTCAAAGGTTAAATAAATCACAAATTCCTAACAACAATGTAGAGAAACTCAAAGTGCAGAACAAATGTTACTGAAGATAATATTACTCCTGTACAGGCTTTATCAGAACTGGATTTGATTAAGTCCTGACTGGCATAATGCTGTTATCAATGAAATTAATTTACTATTTGTATTAAAATTAACTTGGCATCATCACTATCAAAATGAACTTCATCATCAATAGCGAAATCGACTCTGTATAAGCACAATTAAAATCAATATCGAAATAAGCTGCATCATAATACAGTACTTGATAATCTATAGGGTCAGCCAGAAGAGCAATCACTCACAAAGGCAAAGAATCCTTAGTACAAGAAAGTTATGATCAATTTTGGACTGACAGCTGTACTGTATGTACGGTCAACACAAAGTACTGTATGTACGGTCAACACAAAGTACTGTATGTACGGTCAACACAAAGTACTGTATGTACGGTCAACACAAAGTACTGTATGTACGGTCAACACAAAGTACTGTATGTACGGTCAACACAAAGTACTGTATGTACGGTCAACACAAAGTACTGTATGTACAGTCAACACAAAGTACTGTATGTACGGTCAACACAAAGTACTGTATGTACGGTCAACACAAAGTACTGTATGTACGGTCAACACAAAGTACTGTATGTACGGTCAACACAAAGTACTGTATGTACAGTCAACACAAAGTACTGTATGTACGGTCAACACAAAGTACTGTATGTACGGTCAACACAAAGTACTGTATGTACAGTCAACACAAAGTACTGTATGTACGGTCAACACAAAGTACTGTATGTACGGTCAACACAAAGTACTATATGTACGGTCAACACAAAGTACTGTATGTACGGTCAACACAAAGTACTGTATGTACGGTCAACACAAAGTACTATATGTACGGTCAACACAAAAAAGTCACTAGAATGTGATATTTTAATTGCCGGAACTAGGTTGGGATATTGATATTTAATAATAATAATAATAGTTCATTTTGTCAGGAACAGGCAGCTTGTGTATGTAGTATATACATATTATGCTTATATCGAGGTCACCCCCCCAAGATTGAACTGCTGACCCTTCCTAGGATGCAACCCCACAATAAGCTAACTCCCAGGTACCTGTTTACTGTTAGGTGAGCAGAGGCATTAAGTGATAGGAAACATGCCCAACTATTTCTATCCCTCCTGGGATTCGAACCCAGAAGTCCCTATTTGTGAGTCGAGGACGAACCGGACTATTACCAAGACCTGGTGAGGACTCCAGTTGTAAACTGCCCAAAAGACCTAGGGCACATTCTTCAGCCACTGGCTTCCTGTCCTCATCGCGGCCACAAGAGCTTTAGCGGCCCCTATGATAAATTCAGGCGGAAATTAAGTACCCAAATGAGACAGAGAGATTACTGTGCCAAGAATATAATCAGTGTCGGTAGTGAACAACCTCACTTCTTACAGAAAAAGAGTGAAGAAAAAGAAGACACCAACTCATAAGGAAAATCGGAAAGGAAGAACACAATTAGATTACCCCAAGACAAATATAGGACTCAGCTGCCAACCCAGAAAAGGAACTTGCAAAGTAATCATGTAATCAAAGTAATTATAAAGACAGCAGTACAGTATGCAAGAAATTATGAAAGTCTGTTAGATCATAACATCAACTAACCAAACACAGCTTAATAAAAAAATATATATTTATTAACGAAAAGGATATGCTATGAGAAGTGAAGTGTCAAAGGCAGCTATAGAAGGTACTTTTGACCATGCAACATATGATCACAGCCCGGCGTGGCTCAATGTACATTACTCGTTTATAAGGGATAGGAAGGGGTAGGGACTCAAGAGTTGTAGCTTATCCTTTTGAAATAAAACTAGGTAAGTACATGCATACATATATATATGCTGTTCATTAATTATTAGGTGGCATTAGTTTAAATAAATCTGCCCGAAACGCTGCGCGTACTAGTGGCTTTACAAGAGTGAAATTACTGTACTATGCTATGTATTCTCACAAACCCAATGTACCTTCTTGTATATAAATAAATAAATAAATAAATAAATAAATAAATAAATAAATAAATAAATAAATAAATAAATTAATACATACATTTTCTATTAGAAGTACATATGTGAGAAAGTACCATTTAATTAGCAATATATGTACCGACACAGTTCTTTACACCTTCTGTATACATGTGAATTAAATAATAATATAATAAAATATAATAAAATATAATAAAATATAATAAAATATAATAAAATAAATAAAATATATGAAATCAAAACATTGAGACTGCCCTTTAGATTTGGCAGCATGGCGTGGCGATGTGGCACCAGTGTGTACGAGACGTAAACACACCGTCTTCCTGGTCTGCTCCGTCTTGTCCTCACTCGCCGCTAACACATGTAACTATGCTCTCCCTCAACTATTTGGCCGACTATTAATGTATTTTTGACCAGTTTTTACGCTCTCAGAAACTGGAACTGCGGGTGTAAATTGCCAAATTGGCATTTCTTGGTTTACAATACACTTAATAATTCAGTGTTGTCGGTGTGTGAATCATCTTCCTGTATGGATCGGAAGAAGAGTTTGCTAGTGTATTTTGTAATGTTATTAACGATTTGAGTGTGGGCGATGCGTGATAAGTAACTGGTTGCAGTGTTGGGTAGACACCAAAAAGTCTTGAGTTACACGAAGGCATGAGTCCCATGACTAAATGCGATAAAGGTCATAGGAAATAACTCAAGACAATGAAAATGGGTTCAAACCCCAACCTCAAAGCAGGCAACTTGTGGCATTACACTAGTGACAAACTCAAGATACATGTGTATATAGACTACTAGCCTATAGACATTATCATGTAATTCGCATGATATATAATAAGCTATAAAGCCACCATGTATTACTGTGAAAGCCATTACCCATAACTTAGAAAGCCATCTTATTATTTTTTTAAACAATGCTTTGTTGACCAACTTGCATATTGGCTATTTTCTACCATGCTCTCCCCCCTTCCTTTTTATCTTTTATTTTTTTTCTTTCAATGCAATATATACTTTAGGCTCAATTATTATTAAGTTTTAGTCTAAGTGTTTTTTTCCCCACCTCACCTTGCCCGAAACGCTATGCGTACTAGAGGCTTTAGGTATTTTATGTACTACCTCTATCTATATATCAATCAGAATTTTTGTAACTTTGCATCTATGTATGTATTTTTCCTAAATAAAATATTATTATTATTTATTTTAGAAAACTTGTACGTATATGTACTTGTACTTGTACATATATTGTAGATATTTGAACTGCAGGCTATTCTGGTATTTTAATTTCTGGTATCTGGATGCTCTGCTATTTAAATACCATAGTTACTTGTAGATTGACAAATTTCTGGGTGAATGTGGAAGCTTTTTACTGTTACTAGCAGGGGAGGGGGAGGAGGTTTAGCATGTGGGGTTGTACTCAAGAGTCACATGATTTACTCGTGCAACACTCATAAGGAGACGGTGTCAGTCCACACCTGCTTATCTTGCGTTACCTTACATTGATTTCAGGGATCAATGTCTAAGTGGCCCAGTCTCTGACCAGGCCTCCTGGTTGCTGGACTGGTCAACCAGGCTGTTGGACATGGCTGCTTGCAGTCTGCCATATGTATCACAGCCTGGTTGATCAGGTGTCCTATGGAAGTATTTATAATGTTCTCTCTTGAACACTGTGAGGGGTCGGCCAGTTATGCCCTTTATGTGTAGTGGAAGCATGTTGAACAGTCTCGGGCCTCTGATGTTGATAGAGTTCTCTCAGGGTACTTATTGCATCTCTGCTCTTCAATGGGGATAATCTGCACATCCTGCCATGCCTCCTGGTCTCATGTGATGTTATTTCTGTGTGCAGGTTTGGGACCAGCCCCTCTAATATAATGTGTAAATACCCTACCCATCAACATTGGTGTTCCTCAGGGCAGCATACTTGGCCCTCTCCTCTTTCTCATCTACATTAATGACCTTCCAAATGCCTCCCAACACCTCAAACCAATTCTATTTGCTGATGACACAACCTTCATTTACTCCAGTCCTGACCCCCTTGCTCTAAATGCCACAGTAAATACTGAGCTAAATAAAGTCCATCTTTGGCTAACTGCCAACAAACTCACCCTTAACATTGACAAAACTTTCTATATTCTGTTTGGCAATAGATCCTCTAATCAAATAAATCTCAAAATAAACAATACCCAAATTTGTAATAAATTAGATGGCAAATTCCTTGGCATTCTCATTGACCACAATCTGAATTTCCAGGGACACATTCTAAATATATCAAAAAAAGTTTCAAAAACTGTTGGCATTCTTTCTAAGATCAGATATTATGTACCCTGCCCTGCCCTGGTGACTCTCTATTACTCCCTCATCTATCCATATCTCAACTATGGTATTTGTGCTTGGGGCTCTACTACCCAAAATCATTTACGTCCTCTAATTACTCAACACAAAGCTGCTATTAGGACAATATCCAACTCTGGCCCCAGACATCACTCGGTACCCCTACTCAAATCTCTGAATATGTTAGATATTAAGTCACTGCACATTCTCTCATGTGTATTATACATATATAAAACGCTGAACTGTAATGCCAATCCTGACCTCAAAAGCTTCATAGAAGGTTGTAACAGAACCCATGAGCACCACACCAGAAATAAATAGTTTTGATATTCCTAGAGTACGACGTAATCAAACTAGAAATGCTCTACAAATCAAGGGACCCAGATTGTGGAATGACCTTCCCAACCATGTTAAAGACTGTACCTCTCTCAACCAGTTTAAGATAAAAACGAAGCTATACCTAATAAATTCCCTGTAACCTACCTTACCCCTCTATTGTCAACCAATGTCTGTTTTTCTTTAAAGAGCGCTGTTTGTCGACTTAATTGTATTTGTGCTGCTTTTTCAGCTATGTTTTCATTCCATGTTTTCATTTTACTCTTTATGCTCAATTAGTATTAAGCTTTAGTCATTTAAGTTTTTCATGCCCGAAACGCTTTGCGTAATAGTGGCTTTAGGCATTGTATGTACTAGCTCTATCTATAAATCCATCACTCTTTGTAAAATCTCTTGTATGTATGTACCTTACCTAAATAAACATTTGATTTGATTTGATTTGAAATCATGTATATCTCCCACCTGCACTCTAGAGAATACAGATTTTGGCATTTTAGTCAGTCCCAATATTGTAGTTTAGATGTTTTACCGAGTTGATTCTAGCAGTAAAGGATCTCCTCACATTCTCCAGGTCAGCAATTTCTTCAGCTTTGAAAGGGGCTGTTATTGTTCAACAGTATTCCACTCTAAAGAGCACTAACATCTTGAAAAGTATCATCATTGGTATTGCATCTCTTGTTTGAAAGGTTCTTATCCTACTTGTCATTTTTCTTGCAGTTGTGATGGCTACTTTATTGTGTTCTTTAAAGGTAAGGTCTTCCAACATGATTACACCCAAATCCTTTACATTGCCTTTTCATTCTATGGTATGATTTGACCGAGTTTTATACGTTTCCATTTTTATATTTTCATTTTTTCTATAGTGCAGGAGCTGGAACATATCCTCATTAAATAAAACATAATTTTTTGTGCCCATTGAAAGACCTGATTTACATGATTTGATTTAAAAGATTTGATTTACAGCTTGATTTACAAGCTGCAGTTAATATAACAGATATTAACACGAACTTGGAAGACTTTGAAAGAGAAATTGACAATATGCCCATGCACTCACTCCTGGGCCTGACTCATGGAATTCAATATTCATAAAGACATGTAAAGTACCAGTAGTGCGAGCACTGAGCATAATATGGAGAAAGAGCCTGGATACAGGGGAGACACCAGCTGCACTTAAATCTGCAGATATAGCTCCTCTGCACAAGGGGGTAGTAAAGCCTTGGCAAAAAAATTATAGACCAGTTGCACTAACATCACACATAATAAAAGTTTTTGAAAGAGTGATTAGAAATCAAATTTCTAGTTTTATGGAAAATAATGAGCTACACAACCCAGGACAACATGGATTTAGAGCGGGCAGATCCTATCTGTCACAGTTACTCAACCACTATGACAAAATCACAGAAGCTCTAGAAGAAAAGCAAAATGCAGATGTTGTATACACAGACTTTGCAAAGGCGTTCGGCAAATGTGATCATGGAGTGATACCACACAAAATGAGGTCAATGGGAATAACTGGTAAAGTAGGACCCTGGACACTCAATTTCCTGTTGAACAGAACACAAAGAGTAACAGTCAATCAAATAAAATTGAGTCCAAGCACAGTTAAAAGCTCTGTACCTCAAGGTACAGTCCTTGCACCGCTACTGTTCCTTATTCTCATATCAGATATAGACAAAAATACAACTCACAGCTTCATGTCATTCTTTGCAGATGACACAAAAATCAGCATGAAAATTACCTCTGCTGAAGACATTAAAAAATTACAAGCAGATATCAACAAAGTTTTCAATTGAGCAGCAGAAAATAACATGATGTTTAACAGTGATAAATTCCAGGTACTCGGGTACGGCAAAAATGAGGATCTGAAACATAATACAGGGTACAAAACACAATCAAATCTGCCCAATAGTAGGAAAACAGCATGTCAAGGATTTGGGAATAATGATGTCCGATGATCTAGCATTTAGGGAGCATAACCAAGCAAATATTGTGTCAGCCAGAAAAATGATAGGATGATGAAAGTTACGAGAACTTTCAAATCCAGGGATCCCATCATAATGGTTGTACTCTTCAAATCACCTGTGTTGTCCCATCTCGAGTACTGCTCAGTACTCACTTCCCCCTTCAGAGCAGAAGAGATTGCTGAAATATAGGGAATACAGAGAACATATAGGCATACATAGACACGATAATGCACCTAAATTATTGGGATCGTCTCAAAGCTTTCCAAATGTACTCGCTAGAAAGGAGACGAGAGAGATTCCAAATAATATACACATGGAAAATACTGGAGGGCCAGGTCCCAAATCTACACAGTAAAATAGCAACATACTGGAGTGAACGATATGGAAGAAAATGTAGAATAGAACCAGTGAAGAGCAAGGGTGCCATAGGCACAATCAGAGAACACAATATATAAACTTCAGAGGTCCATGGTTGTTCAACATCCTCCCAGCGAGCATAAGAAATATTGCCGGAACAACCATGGACATCTTCAAGAGAAAACTAGATAGTTTTCTTCAAGAAGTGCTGGACCAGCTGGGCTGTGGTCGGTATGTGGGCCTGCGGGCCGCTCCAAGCAACAGCCTGGTGGACCAAACTCTCACAAGTCGAGCCTGGTTTCGGACCGGGCTTGGGGAGTAGAAGAACTTCCAGAACCCAACCCAATACTAGATGTAGTTTTTGTTCTTGATTTTGCATAGAAAATATTTAGGATTTCTTTATTTCATTGATGGCCCCTTTTGGTCTCTGTCTCCTGGATTTTGTATGATTTTTGTAGCTTTAGTTCATTAGTTTCTGTTTCTCTATCTAGTTTTCTTCAACATTATCTGAGTAACAGGTATTTGTAATCATTATGTTCCTGATCAATTCATTGTTATTTGTGAAAATGAAATCCAGCATGTTATTGCCCTTGTATACAAGTCACTGTATTTGCCTCCAGTGACTTGTATACAAGGGCAATAACTACATTTAGGATGTCTATTTTGATTAAGTCATTCCAGTCATTCCATATCAGTCATTATCAGTCATTCTCTCACTGTCATTCCCTCAGGAAAATGTAACAAAACCTTAAAATTTTTCATGTTGACCTGACAGTGTCTACCAGAATTTCATTTAAAGGAAAATCCTTGTGGATGGAAAGTAGTAAAATAAATTCCATATTTTTAATGTACAAGAAACATTTGTTGCCTCAAATAGTTGTTATCAGGATCAGAGTTTGCACCCTTAGACAAACACTGGTATAGTGAGGTCAATGACCACTCAGTAGAAGGTTGAATGTGTGAATGTTAATCATGTAAAGTGTGTAAATACCAGTAACTGTACATTAAATATTGCTCAGAGGAAAGGGAGTCAGGATGAGTCGTGACAGGCTGAAAGAACTTCGAGAACTCAGCAAGCGGCAAAGCTTTTATGACGACGATGTGGTCACCATCACCTATGATGACAATAATGATCAGAAGGCTCTACTGGAACTTCTGGATAAGATTGGACCTCTGTACACAAAACTGAAAGTAAGTGCTAAAAGTGGCATGTTTAGATTATTAAATACATTATAAACTCTACTAGGAATTACCACTCTACCACTAACTTATAATTTTGGAAATTCATTTCTTCTACAAATTAATTCTATAACTGTAATTTCAGAACTCATGTTAGTAAGTGATTAAGTTATTACGTTATTAAGTGTAATTAGGCATTCAAAAGTTGCCATAGTCTCGTGGTAAACTTGCTGTAGAGGAATGAGTTTTGCAAGTGTCTGACATTGTCTGTTGTTGTTTCTAAATCTGAATAAAAAACAGTATAAACTCCCAATCTCCCTGCAAGATTTGTTGGAAGAAAAGGGGTGTAATGTTTATGATTTGATAATTTATCTGTTAAATAGTTAAAAGCTTATACAGTATTACTATTTATATTTACAGAGAAGTTAAATGTTATATGAAAAAATTACCTTGCAGAGTGCATTTATTTAGGCTTCTTGGTATCCTGCTAAAGCCTTACATAGGCTATAAGCATTATGGCAGATTATTATGACTGCTACATATGGGTATGGTGGGGTATTGGGGTTAATTTAGAGATGATATTTGAATTACCAGTAGCAATTTTCCTCATTAATTTATGTTCCTTTCTAAATATATTTTCAATATACGTTCCTATTTAAAAACTAGAATAGCCCAACTGGTGTATAGAAAATATTTGTGCATTCTTTATAGTTAAATCCATTAGATGTTTCATAAGGCCAAGTCTTCCTATGCTATTTTTCAAGTGCATTATCCCTATTTCATTGTAATTTAATCTTTGTTGCTGTGTTAGAGATTGCTCTTGGTGCATTATGTTGTCAGTATATACTGTATGGTATATGGATCTCTCTCCTCTTCAATTCCCCCCCCCCCTCTCTCTCCAGTAGAATACTGTAACATTGCAATCTTTGTATTCACCTTAAGAATTACTTAATTTAAAATTTCAGCAGTAAACTTTTTGAGCTGTGGTTTTGGAGTCCTTGAAAACATTTCAGTTGCTTCTAGGAAATGACGGAAGCTGTGCACGAACTGCGGTCAATGGTACACGAGCATGACAACCGCCATAAAGTAGATGACAAGATCAATAAGATCAAAGTTCAGGCTAGAAGACTACGGGCTTCTTTAGAAGAGGTAAGCTCTTTTGCTTTGACTTGTAAAGGTTGCCAGATGTGCTGCATGTTTATATGAATTTTTTTTTATCCAAGTTATCAGATGTTTGAGAGTTTTGCTTGGATAATACCGCTGCATAGGGGAGAAAAGACATGCAGATCATTGTTAAAAATTTTGAAGATGTTTTTAAATTATTTCAGTTTAAAAGTTAGACATTAATTTAACCCTTAGACAGCGGCTATGGAAAAATGGTCATACTCGCCTATGCACAATAAATGTAAAAACTCTTAACGTAATTTTTCATTATAAAATTATTAATTTGTATGCAGAATGTAAGAAAAATAAGACATAGGTGAATATTTATACCCCGGTAGTTCCACTGGGTGGAGGCGCTATGCAAGGCTGTGTCTGGCACTTGTCAACATCCTCCGATGTTTCACTGATTGTTTTATCACTTATTTTTTTTTTCTTTACATCAACAGAGAGCTTTTATATCCATATTTGCATCATGCATGTAAAACCCAGACAATAATTGTTTAACTCATTATATGATGATGACTGCATTCCCCTAATAAGTCATGACATAACAGCATTTGTACCATGAAATGGCATCAGGATTGTTCTGAGGGGAGCCCCGTTGGCTCCCTGAAGCTATCCATACTGATGTAGTGCTATACAGTGGTACCTCTAATAACGAACGCCTCAAATGGCGAACATTTCGAGTAACGATCGGCTCGATCTGCGATAATTCGTGTTGTATGGCGAACGCTTGTTTGAATAACGACGACACCACATGGTGGGGTCGCACTGCTGCTTGCACATTCTCGGATGCCTCCGACGATGCAAATAACTTATGTTGTTCTTGTTTAAAGATGCTGATGATACTGGGATATAAAGGGGTGACTGCTGAAATGTTGCAAAGCATTGACGTTTTTGTAGAAAAAAAAAAAAATTCAGAAATACAACAAATCTTAAAAAAGGTTTGTTCGGTGTTTGGCAGGTAGGCTACTCCATTATAACAATCTTTCTTTATTTCAAATGTGTTCCATATGTTTTGTATTTGTCATTTACATCTCAATAATGGAGCAGCCTACCGTACATACACTGCACAAACCTTTATGACATTTTTCTTCAAATTTGGTCAATATTTATTTTTCATTTGTCTTACAGCAAAAGGTTTGTTCGGTGGTCGGCAGGTAGGCTGCTCCATGTTTCTTGAATAAAAAAATAGGAAAATAATAATAAAAAAATGAAGAATTTTGAAAACCACGACAAATGTCGAAAAGGTTCGTTCGGTGGTCTACAGGTAGGCTGCTCCATGTTTCTTAAATAAAAAAAAAATAAAAAAAAAGTTGAAACAATTTGAAAAATGGACAAATGCCATAAAGGTTCGTTCAGTGTATGTACAGTAGGCTGCTCCATTATTTAAAACGTCAAATATCATATTAATGTTTTTTGGTGGTAGAATGGATTAATTTGATTTCCATTACCACTAAGGGCTCAACACATTATATGATGGGTTGAGTAGCTTGCAACAACTTGTGCTTCCCACCATATGATGTATTGAAGTATCGCGCAAGATTTGAATGGCCCGCGGGGTAGAGAGGGCCCCCATATGCTGCCCAGGGGCTGTAGTAAACAGCCGCCATTTTGTAAAAAAAATCCAGCTCACGCTACCATCGCGTGGAAGGCATCGGTTACCCAGCAGCCACCATGTCGAGCGCACGGCCGAACACTTCCCGGGCGCGCAACATGTAATCACTCGCCCAAGAGCAAATTACTAGTGAATTATTTTCTGATGGGGAAGAAAGTGATTTTGGCGACTGACAAAGGACTACACACAATTGACCGATGATAGTAGCACTGACAGTGAAAATGAGATACAGCCTCCTCCCATGGCGAGGCTTACACGCTCACCCATGCCACCTCGCCTAGTATCTACACCAATTCACCCACGACCACACAGTTCCTGTGCTTATTTAGAGTCTGAGGATATTTTGGGCAATGAGTCAGAGGAAGGTGACTCATTTTTTGGTTTTAGTGAAGTGGTATCATAACATAGTGTTACCGAGCTTGGTGCCAGTACCAGTGGTGTTACCGGGCGAGATTTTGTCGCGTCAGCAGCGTCTCGCCCAGCCAAGGGCCACCGCATGGAACAACATGAGGCACCAAGAGTCTCATGTTCTAGTGCTTCCACCTCACGTGCACGTAGCAGCCGTACTGTGCGTAGACGGGCTTCAGCTCCTGGTCCACGGTGTGCATCTCTTCCTCGCCATCGTGACCCTGTTGTGTCTCGCAGGACACCAGGTGTACTAGTGTGGAGTGATGGTGCCGGTTTTATTCCTCGAATTCCTGCCTTTGACAATAAAAATGTTGGGATTACAGAGCTTTTCCCTGATAATGGAGAGGATATGTGTGAATTGGATTATTTTACAGCATTCTATGATGAGCTGCTCATGGAATATATTGTACACCAAACGAACCTTCATGCGGCTCATTTCATTGGAAAAAAGATAACAGAATTTTCACGATTGCAATGTTGGAAAACCACCACTGTAGGTGAAATGTGTGTGTTTTTAGCAATATGTATATATATATATGAAGCACATATATATGCAATATATATGAAGCACTATCAAACATGCTATCACAGATTATTGGAGCAAAGATCTGACTATTCCAACACCTTTCTTCGGGAAATATATGTCCCAAGACAGGTTTCAGATACTCCTCAGGTGTTTGCATTTTGCAAGTAATGAGGACCAGACAGAGGATGATAGACTTTGGCGAGTGAGGCACTATATGAATGAAGTGATTGGAAAGTTCAGAGATTTTTACATACCAGCACAGAAGCTGGTGATTGACGAATCCCTTGTGCTTTTCAAAGTACGTGTTTCATTCAAGCAGTATATTCCCTCCAAACGAAACAGATTTTGATTGAAATTCTTTGTTCTTGGGACTGTGAAATAGGATACATGTTACACATGATTCTGTATTCAGCTAGCGATGTAGACATTCCCGGTAACGACGAACATGGTTTCTCGGGTAGTGTGGTGAAGTCATTGATGGCACCATGGATGAACAAGGGCCACATCTTATATACAGATAACTACTATACAAGTGCATTGCTAGCTAGGTTCTTGATTGAAAATAAAACCAGATTGGTTGGCACAGTAAAGCCCGACGAAGGGAAATGCCAGTGTTTGACGGTAAACTTGCAGTTGGTGAGTGCCAGCTACGAAAATGTGATCAAATACTCTCGGTTTGGTGGAAAGACGAGAGAAGTGAACATGCTGATAACCGTTCATGATGGTACAATGGTGAACAGTGGCAAGGTGAACAGTGTAACAAAGGAACCAGTATATAAGCCAGATTGTGTTCTTGACTATAATATCAACATGCATTTGACTGATAAAGCTGACATGATGGTTGGCACTATCGAGTGTGTGCGGAAAACATTGAAATGGACGAAAAGTGTTTTTCCACCTTGATGACATGAGCATGCTGAACAGCTATAATATGTATCTGATGAAAATTGGACGTAAACCTAGTTTCCGTGCTTTTGCTTTTACACTTGCGACACAGTTATTAGCAAAGTTTGGCAAAGATGTTCCTGGCATACAACAACCCATCAAAATTAATTTTGATGGGTTGTTGGTCCTCCATTAAGAAAATGTGTGAAGTATGGGAAGAACTGCAAAGTTTTGTTGAAAAAAACTCACCCAGATTAAGCTGTAGGAGGCCATTGCATTGACCTTTTAAATGACAATGTGATGTCTTACTACAGACAAGTGTTAAAATGTAGGGAAAAACAAGTGTCTTTAGACAGATTCTTAGTAAGACAAGGAAGTCTTAGTGGTATGCAGGCAAAACGTGCCAGCGTGTGCACACCAGTGAAGTCCTCACTGCCTGATGTTATAATGGAAGGGGACTCCCCTTCCAAACAGTAACACCTCTTCTCCTCCCCCCCCTCCTCACCATCTTCCTTACGCCAACAGCATTCAACAGCAAGGTAAGTAATAACTTGAACATAGTTTTGTAGGTTTATTTAGGTGAATTAGGTATAAAATTTAGTTTGAAGTGAGGTTTTTGGGTAGTCAGGAACAGATTAATTCATTTCTCATTATTTCTTATGGGGAAATTAGCTTTGGATTACGAGTTTTCGGAATACGAGCTGTCTCCAGGAACAGATAAATCTCTTAAACCGAGGTGTCACTGTATATACATTTTCTTTCGGAAGGGGTTCTGTTCCTTTCGCTGTTGATGGGGTGCTAAGGGAGCAGCTTGCTCTGTTGGCTCTCGCTTGTGGTTGTCTTCTGGCCTCTGGTGGCATCGGGCGACTTCTTCCCCTTTGGGGGTGTTTGGGGCTGGTGGGGTGGGCTTCTTGCCCTGCACTTCGTCATGTCATCTTGGCGTGGGTGCGTTTGGACTTGGTCGTTCTGCCCCATCCTTCCGAGGTTCCCGCCTGTTCTAGTGCAGACATGGGCCTTGTGGTTCTTCTGGACTTATGCAGTCTGCACCCTAGATTCTTTGCCCTCTTCAGAAGACTGTTGGGGCCGGGTGCCTGGATTGTGTTCCTGGACCTCCGGGTCACTTCTTGGTACGTTTCTCTCCAGGGTCCTGGGACTGTCACAGTTGGTGGTGGGGCTTTAGGTTTGCCTCGTTTGTTGCCTTCCCTAGTTTGTAACTGGCACTTGGTGTATTTCGCATCTTTACCAGATCTTGGTCACTTGTCTGCGCCTGCTCGGGATTCGGTTTCTGTCCTACCTCGACGACTGGCTGGTGTGGGCTCCCAGTCGGTCCGCTTGTCTGCTCGGCAGGGGTGTAGTTCTTTCCAGATTGCCAGGTTCGGATGCCTGGTGATCTGGAGGCCACTCCATCTGGTTCCGTCCGGGGTTCGGACCTGGCTGGTTCTTGTTTAGGACTCTTGAACCGCTTCTTTGTCTTTCCCTCTAGAAGTGTTGCTGTGGCTGTGGTCCCGCCTTCGGCTGTTTGAGGGAGTCCCGGGTCACTTGGCTGTTGCTTGAGCGGTTGTGTGGGAGTCTGACTTCACCGTGCTGGTCTGCCCTGTCAGGTCGGGTTTGGCTTCGGCGTCTGTTCGGTTTCTTCTGGGACTTCCCTTCCACCTCTCTCGCAATCGTTGGGTTCGTCCTCCAGGGATCTTGTGTTGGTGCTTGGCACCTCCCCGAGCCTTTGCTCGATGTGTTCACGGATGGGTCATCTCTCGGCTGGGGCTTTGTGGCCAGTGCTCACCAGGCCGGCTGGGGATGGTGGGGTCTGTCCGTCCGTCGGGCTCACAGTACGGTTCGGGAGTTCGTGGCGGTCTGATTTGCGCTTCAGAGGGTTCGGGTCACTCAAGGCTCTCCCATCTGGCTCCATTCGAACTGTTTTTCGGTGGTTCATTGCCGGAACCACGGGAATTCTCTTAGGTCCTTGACCTTTGGGGTTGGTCCCTTCGAGTGGCTCGTCTGCTGGATCCTCGGGGTTTGGCTAGCTGTGCATTTCATGTCCTGGGTGTCCTACGTCCTGGCGGATGGCCTGTCTCGGTTCATTCCTCTGTTCACGGTTTGGTCGGCCGTCGCCAACTCGTTTCGTTTGATCTGCCGAACGTATGGACTCCTGGACATGGACATCTTCGCGTCAGTGTGATCTCTGCGTCTCCCATTCTGTATGGTGCCCTTACCCGCCTGCGAAGTGTTCATGGTGGAAGCGCTCGGCAGGACTGGTCGAGGTGGAGCTACCTGTTCCTCTTCTCCCGGTCCAGCTGTTGCTTCGAGTTCTGACTTGGTTGGAGTCCTTCCCAAGGAGAGTAAGTAGTCCTCGTGGTCTCTTGGTGGCCGGCCCAGCTTTGTTTTCAGTCGCTGCTTGATAGGTGTCCGATCCCGGGGCGTTTCCACAGCTCCGCTTCTTTCGGCAGGTCAGACCGGTCTTGTACGTGACTGGTTCGGTCTTCTCCTTGGCTCTTCGCGTCTGCTCTGCTGACATGGGTGTATCACCATCTTGATGGTGATCAGGTGGCTTAGTTGATGGTGTCCCACCTACGAGTTTCGTCTCGGCGACAGTATGACGTTCCTGGCGTTTCTATTCGCCATTTTCTTTCTCTTCGTAGGTTGTTTTCTCTTTCCCATCGGGTTGTCTTGTCCTTTCTTGGTTTCTTCAGGACAGTTAATTGATGCTTCTTACTGTTGCTTTGTATCGTGCGGCGCTGGCAGAGCCGCTCCGGCTTGCGTTTGGGGTGGACGTCACATCCGCCCCGTTCCGTACACTTCTCGTGTTATTTCACCTCCGGCCTGCTCATGCACCGCCTGAGCTGTCCTGGTCCTTGATCAAGGTGCCCTTTTATCCTTCTCCTCAATTTATGGTAGCTCTTTCGGTTCAAGATTGTTTTTCAAAGGCCATACTTTGTTGGCATTGGCCTCTGTGGATCGGGTTGGGGAGCTTCCGGCTCTCCTCCGGCACAGAGGTTTCTGCTCTTTTGGTATTGATGGTAAGTTTATACGCTTGCAGCCTTTCTCTGTCCTTCTGGCAATGGTAGAGACGGCTGCTTTCCAGAGGGATCCTTGGGTTATTGATGCTTGTTTGATTTGGCCGGGGGTGAGACATGTGTTGTCTGATTGCGGCTCTTCGCCGTTACCTGCGTGCCGGGGCTGGGGATGTACTTTGGGTTGATCCTGTTCCCCCCGTTCCCTTTTTCAGAGCTCGGGTCTCCCAGGTCGTCCGCAGTTTTCTTAAGTCTACCAGCCTGTGGTCTATCCTTGCACCTATGCCATTCGGATGTTTGCAGCTTACGCTGCTGTGTTTGGTGACGTCTTGGGCTCATTTCGGGCGCGAGGATTTGGGGGTCGCACAGGTTCCTGGCCCCCTGTTCATTTGTGAGTGTATCTGCTCCTGTGCGTTCTTGTGTTGCTTTGGGTTGTAGGTTGCTGCCTGTTGTCTCGACTTCCATTGTGGAGTTTGTGGCGGCCGCCTTCCAGGTCAGCCCTCTCTTTTCCTTCTCTTTGGGTATGAAGCTCCAGGGAGTCGTAGGGGCTCCCCAAAGAAAACCAGTGTTGAATGTAATGAAACGCCATTTTCTGGGTGAGCCCTGGAGGCTCCCTGGCAACCCTCCCTCCCACCGGTCGGCATTTTTTTTGTGTTGGTTGAAGCTTAGCTCCCGAACTGGAGCCCCCTCCCCCTCTTGGGGTGGGGAGGGCTGCGTGGACAATCAGCACGGCAGTAAAGTGTGATGTTTGCTTGTTTCCTTGGGATTGTAGGGAGTGTCTATCTCTGTTCGGTTTTTTTGTCTTAGTTTCTTACCATGTGGTGGTTTGTTTTGTTATGCCTACCTTTCTGGATGCCTAACCCCGGTCGATGGCAGATAAGGAAAACTCCCAACCACAAAGGGGGTTTTCAAAGGCCATTGCTCCCTGAAACCTCTCTGAAGGGGCCAGGTTCTGGCGCTGGTCCCTGGTAGGTCTGAACTCCATAGTTAATGTCCCGGTCTAATATAACATACATTAGTCTGATAAGCTCCAGGAAGCCTCCGGGGCTCACCCAGAAAATGGCGTTTCATTACATTCAACGCTGGTTTTCTTCGCGTGCTAGGGAGAGTTGTCAGTTATAAATAGGGGCATAGTGCAGGGGTTACTGACAATAAAACTCCAGAAACAAGAGAGACTAGCCTCTTTAACCAGATGAACAAGCAGGTGAGCTGGGTGCAGGGAAAGTGTCTTTGTGAAGCAAACACCGAACCCTGACCACAAACACTTGGCAAGGGGAGGTGTAAACTGCCATAAATCCAGAAAAATCAATTGAACAAACCAAGCACACCTTTGACTAAAGTTCAAAGCAGAGTAGAGATGCCATACAGGTGTGAAGTAAACGGCTATTCAGTATCCTCCCGGCAAACATAAGAATTATTGCAAATACAAAAGTGGATGTGTTCATGAGAAAATTAGACATGTTCCTGCAAGATGTGTCAGACCAACCAGGTAGAAACTGTTTATGACTTTAGTGAGACCAAAATTGGAATATAGAGCAGTTGTATGGTGCCCATATCGCAAGAAACACACCAATAAACTGGAAAAGGTGCAAAGACTACAAAATGGCTTCCAGACCAGAAAAACAAGAGATATGAAGATAGTCTAGAAGCATTAAATATGACAAAGATAGAAGAAAAATGGTGATTTGATCACCACTTACAAAATAATATTGGGAATTAACCAAATTGAGAAAGAAGAATTCCTGAAACTGGCAACCTCATGAACAAGTGGTCACAGATTCAAGTTATGAAAACAAAAGTGCCAAAAAATGCTAGTTTTCTTCTGCAAACAGAATGGTAGATGATTGGAACAAATTGAGTGATAAGGTGGTGGAGGCCAAAACTGGCAGTAGTTTCAAAGCATTAAATGACATAGAGTACTGGGAAGATGGGACACCACAATTGTAGCAATCATCCTGTGACTACACTTTCGTATTTACACACACACAAGCAGGACCAGCACGATAAACTGGTCTTTTAAATGCGTAATCACATTTTTACCTTTTTTAGGATAAGGGTATAATTTCTCCCCATCAACAGGCCCTGTAGGGAGACCAAGTTTTCTGCACTGCACAGAAGTCGGACGACTTGATAGGAGTTGGCTCATAGAGGCGGTAGTTCACAACCCCTCAGAGCTGGAATCCTTGGTGGGTTAAAGCGTCTGAGTGTAATAGATTGCTAAGGTTCATGCAGTTTGGGTGGCATAAATGTAATCATGATACAATGAAAATAAACAAAGCAATGGCTCCTAGCAGAATAAATATTCTAGGATAATTCAGCTTTACTGAGCTGCAGTTGAGAATCAGGTGATGAACCCTACAGAGGCTAGCAGGTGTTGAGCCAGTGTCACCGGGGGAAAAAAAAGTGAGGGGGAGGGGGGGGGGCAAGCTGTCTGAAACCTGAGGTAACCTGGGCTCCCATCTGATGGCAGTCAGGTACATTACATTACAGTCAGGGTCTTTACCTCGTGGCAACGATCATTTGTCTTGTTTACCTAGGGGTGGGTGCCTGACTTGTTTTAAGCATTTATTTGTTTTGTTGCACTTACTTTTTCTGGTGGGCTTCCCTAGCATTGTGCTTGATCCCTGCTCCCTCCTCACATAGAATGAGTCGCATATCCTGGTCCTGTTCCAGTAACTTGAGATTATCTCGAAATGATTTCAGGGTTTAGCGTCCCTGCAGCTCGGTCCTCGGGCTTCCTCGGAACAAAGCCACCAAAAAGGTGGCTTACTTTTTGTTACACCTCCCCAGGAAGCAGTCCATAGCAGCTGTCTAACTCCCAGGTACCTATTTACTACTAGGTAACAGGGGCATCAGGGTGAAAGAAACTGTCCATTTGTTTCTGCCACCACAAGGGATCGAACCCGGAACCTCAGAACTACGAATCTGAAGCGCTGCCCACTCGGCTGTCACACCTCCAGTAGGCTACAGGTAGGTCTCGGAGGTCTGGTGCGTTTGGCTAATGCTTGTTGGTACCAGATGTTAGCTGAGGATGCTACTGGGGGCCTTCCTGAAAATAATTTTATTGCATTCAACACTAGATACAGTATGATGAAATGCCACAGCCGGAGACAGCAAGTGCTTTTCATATTAAAAATGTGTGAACTTCAAATTTTGTTTGCCTGCCTTTGTTTTGACCCTTGGTAGGGATACAGTATAGTAAAAAAAAAAATGGTGTCTAAAACCATCTAGTGTAACTTAAGTTTTATTTTCAGATAAGAAATAAAAGTGAGAAGAGCACTGGAGTTGTGCAACATGTGGCAAGGACACATCATTTGTCACTGGTCGTCCACTTGTCTCTGGTGATGCAAGAGCTGTCGATAATGCAGGCAGACACCCACGATCGTCACGCTCAGTACGTCAGAAAAGAACTTATTATAACAGGCAAGTAGATAATCAAGTTGGAAAACAATAATTGTATTAGTATACTAGCAGTACCCGGCCACACGTTGCTGTGGCTCGGCAATGCATGAGTGTTGCTGAGCCACAGCAACCTTCTCTGTCCCCCAGTCTTCCCCACCATTTCCTCCTCACCCATCTCCTTGGCCTCCCCACCATCCCCTCTTCCTTCCCACCATACCCCACTCCCTGTCCCTTTGTCCTCCTAACTATTCTCCATTCCCCCATCCCCTCGTCCCCACCATCCCAAACTCCCCCGTCCCCTCGTCCTTCCCACCATTACCCCCTCCCTTGTCCCCTCGTCCTCCCCACCATCTCTTACTTCCGTCCCCTCGTCCTCCCCACCATTCCCCACTCCCTCATCCGATGCCTTCCCAAATGGTCTGATGTTCCCATAAGAAAATTGGGAACATCAAGTGATCTAATGTTCCCATCACTGAAATATAAGAAAAACAGTTAAAAAATGAAATGAAAATATGAAAAATTATAAAAATAAACTATACTCATGAAATTAACAGTCTGGTAAACAACACAGCTCAATTCCAACACGCAAAATAATTAAACACAAAATAATTATATCAAAATCTATGAAAATTCAGTTTATTAATGCAATCAGAAACATTGAAATGGAATTGTAACATATCTAGTATAGCATGTGTGTTACTCATACATGCAACAGATGGTGCTGTTTTTCAAGAAAAACATAGTTTTACCTGTCACAGGTGTGGCATCTATACTTATACATATGAAATGAACGGTATGGTAAAAAACACAGCTCAATTCCAACACAATGTCATACAAAATAATTCACTAAAAAATAAAATAAATCAAAATCTATAAATATAAAATTTATCAATGCAATCGGAAACATTGAAATGGAATTCGTGACATATTTAGTATAGCGTGCATGTTGCCATTATGTGCAACAGATGGCACTGTTATTCAAAAATGCTTGTTTTTACCTGTCACAGGGGTGGCATTTATATAGTAGGTAAATAAAAAGGCACGCCTATTTGAATGCAACATTGTGTTAAAATTTCAAAGCAATCGGTGAAGAACTTTCGGAGATTACAGCGTGTGTTGCTCTTACGTCCAACAGATGGCGCTGTTTTTTCAAAAAAAGCATGTTTTTTCCTGTCACAGGTGAGGCATGTATATAGTAGATATATGAAAAGACGCGCCTATTTGAATGCAACGTTGTGTCAAAATTTCAAAGCACTCGGTAAAAAGGTTTCGAAGATTTCCCTCACATGAAAAGCACATGAAAAACACATGAAAAACAGTTTTTCAGAAAAAGCATGTTTTTTTTACCTTCACAGATGTGACATCTATATAGTATCTATATAAAAACTTGCTCGGATACGAAATTAACGTTGTGTGAAAATTTCAAAGCAATCGGTGAAGAATTTTGGATATTAGCTATTTTGAACAAACGAACATTTCCATTTTTATTTATATAGGTTTTGGGAGCCAGTTTTCTCTAATACACATATCATTAAACACAACAGCTTACAAGGAGAAAACTAGACATATAAGTGTGGGTACACCTCACTCTACGATTCACCTAACCCCCCTTAATCGTAGGGAGCGGCGAAGGGTAGGGTGAAGTGATTATTGCTGGACTCTGGCTTCTAGCTGTCTGCCAGATCTTACATCTTCCCTCTGGGTCAATGGAGGCCCATCGAACAACTGTATGCTCGAAATCGAATTCATCTGGATGTTGATTACTGGTGTCAGCTCCAGAATGAACACAGCCTCAAGCATACGAAGTCTCCTACGATCGTTGGTGCGTGTGATTATTGTCGTATCTTTCACCATGTCTTGGCGAAATTCAGGATGATGGTGTGGTGTTGAGAATGATGTTGCTTAATACTGTACCTCCCTCTTTCAAATGAAGTGTAAGACATCTACTCAGTGTATTCGTCATATGTCCAATATAGCATATATTTCGGAGCACACAGTCTCCAGAGCTGCATTAGTATATTTCAGTTTATCAAAGGAGGCAGAGATGTTACCTCTCATAATGAGGAAAGATATACGAGGGTTGTTATAATAAATGACGAGACGAATCCTTGCATTTTCACAACAAGGCTTACAATTACTGTCAATTATATCTCGTATCACCTTCTCATCCTTCTTGTATGCCTGAGTAAATGTATTTTTATAATACAATGTCTTCCATTGGGGGGGCCAATTTTCCACCCCTTGGGCCAATTATCCTCAGTCAAATGGCGGCCTAGCTTCTTACTAACAATTTCGTTGAATTCTGTATTGCTATAATCATCGTTCACAACAATTTAGCGGATTCATTCAAGTTCACGGTGCAAGAGCTGCCAAGAGAAGCATGTACGTATTGCACGACGACCTACATATGCATTGGTAATGCTTCTCTTATATCTGTCAGTGCATTAACTCTTACCTCTCATACATTTTCCTGCATCAGTGACTTTATATATGTACTACTGTGTAATTACATAAGTGTAGTTACAGGATGAGAGCTACACTCGTGGTGTCTCATCTTCCCAGCACTCTGTCATATAAAGCTTTGAAACTACTGACGGTCTTGGCCTCCACCAACTTCTCACCTAACTTGTTCCAACCGTCTACCACTCTGTTTGCGAAAGTGAATTTTCTTATATTTCTTTGGCATCTGTGTTTGGCTAGTTTAAATCTATGACCTCTTGTTCTTGAAGTTTCGGGTCTCGGGAAATCTTCCCTATCAATTTTGTCAATTCCTGTTACTATTTTGTACGTAGTGATCATATCACCTCTTTTTTCTCTGTCTTCTAGTTTTGGCATATTTAATGCCTCTAAACTCTCCTCGTAGCTCTTGCCCTTCAGTTCTGGGAGCCACTTAGTAGCATGTCTTTGCACCTTTTCCAGTTTGTTGATGTGCTTCTTAAGATATGGGCACCACACAACTGCTGCATATTCCAACTTTGGCCTAACAAAAGTCATGAACAATTTCTTTAGTATATCGCCATCCATGTATTTAAAAGCAATTCTGAAGTTAGAAAGCGTGGCATAGGCTCCTCGCACAATATTCTTTATGTGGTCCTCAGGTGATAGTTTTCTATCTAGAACCACCCCTAGATCTCTTTCTTTATCAGAATTCTTTAAAGATTTCTCACATAATATATAGGTTGTGTGGGGTCTATGTTCTCCTATTCCACATTCCATAACATGGCATTTATTAACATTAAATTCCATCTGCCAAGTGGCGCTCCATGTACTTATTTTGACCAGGTCTTCTTGGAGGGCATGACAATCATCTAAGTTTCTTATCCTTCCTATTATCTTAGCATCATCAGCAAACATGTTCATATAATTCTGTATACCAACTGGTAGATCATTTATGTAGACAATAAACATCACTGGTGCAAGAACTGAACCCTGTGGTACTCCACTTGTGACATTTCTCCAGTCCGATACATTGCCTCTGATCACAGCCCTCATTTTTCTATCAGTCAGAAAACTTTTCATCTATGTTAGAAGCGTACCTGTCACTCCACCAATATTTTCCAGTTTCCAAAACAACCTCTTATGTGGAACTCTGTCGAAAGCCTTTTTTAGGTCCAGATAGATGCAGTCAACCCAACCATCTCTTTCCTGTAATATCTCTGTTGCTCGATCATAGTAACTGAGTAAATTCGATACACAGGATCTTCCAGATCGAAAACCATACTGTCTGTCTGATATAATATCATTTCTCTCCAGGTGTTTGTACCCATTTAGTTTTAATTATTTTTTCCAATATTTTGACTATTACACTTGTCAATGATACCGGTCTATAATTAAGGGGGTCTTCCCTGCTTCCACTTTTGTAGATTGGAACTGTTAGCCTTTTTCCACACATCAGCTACAACTCCTGTATATAGGGATGCCTGAAAAATCAGTTGAAGAGGATTGCTGAGCTCAGGTGCACATTCTCTCAGAACCCATGGTGAAACTCCATCTGGACCAACTGCTTTGTTCTTATTTAGCTCCTTGAGCATTTTTTCCACTTCGTCTCTAGACACCTCTATGTGCTCTATGTTGTTCTCTGGAATTCTTATTGTATCTGGTTCCCTGAAGATTTCATTTTGTACAAACACACTTTGGAACTTTTCGTTTAATGTTTCACACATTTCCTTTTCATTTTCCATGAATCTATTTCCCATTTTCAACCTCTGAATATTATCCTTTACCTGCAATTTGTTGTTTATGAATTTATAGAACAGACCTGGTTCTGTTTTACATTTGTCTGCAATCCCTTTTTCAAAATTTCTTTCTGCCTCTCCGAGGAGGAGAAATTTCTGAGGAGAAATTTCTTTCTCCTCACTGCCGTGTAGTTGTTTCTCGCATCTTTGTATCGCTGGTATGTTTGGGGGTTCGGCCTCTTCCTGTATTGATTCCATTTTTGTGTCTTTTGGTCTCTGGCCCTCTCGCACTGTCTGTTGAACCAATCCTGTTTCCTAGTTCTGCTTCTCTGTTTTGGTATAAATTTTTTTGTGCCTTTATCATATATTTCACAAAACCTGACATACATGTCATTCACTTCCTTGCCTATCAACAAGTCTGTCCAATTATACTCACTAAAAAATTTTCTAAGGTTGCCATAATGTCCTCTCCTAAAGTCAGGTTTTTCATGTGCATCGACGATCATATTTTCTTCCAGATTATAACGCATTGCATACTCTATTCCCAAAAAGACATGGTCACTTTTACCCAAGGGAGGAAGGTACTGAATGTCAAATATTTCTTCCTCCTTCCTGGTAAATATCAAATCTAGCATGGAGGGGACGTCCCCTTCCCTCATCCTCGTAGCTTGTTTAACATGTTGATACAAGAATGTTTCCAGGATGAGGTCTACAAATTTACAGGTCCAGAAATCTTCTGTTTTAGCTTCACATGCTTCCCAGTCTATGGATTTCAAGTTGAAGTCGCCGACTATCAACAATCGTGAACTATCGTTATCCGCTCTCGCTATGATCTCTCTCATTATTGTTATAAGACCTTCTCGTTTACTATCTAGCTCCTCCTTTGACCATGTGCTGCTTAGCGGTGGACTATATGCATTTATGATCATTAGTTTATCATCCTCATGGCAGATCTCTAGTGCTATTATGTCAACTTCTTGTGGATTGGCAGTCACTATTTCGTTCACCTTTAGGTGTTCTTTCACCAGCACAGCAACGCCACCGCCTTTCCTGATTTTTCTGTCCCGTCTCCAAATTGAGTAGCCCCTTGGGAATATGACCTCATTTAAAATAGCATCTTCAAGTTTTGTCTCCGTGAGTGCAACAATGTCTGATGCCTGCAGCTGTATTATATCACTTAACTCCAGTATCTTTGATCTTACTCCATCTATGTTGGTGTATGCAATCTTGAGGAACTTGTTCCCCCTCTTCTTATTTTTCACTCCCCCTTTCTCTAATGATTTTGTTGGTTTGCCTTTATGTACCACTTTACTGGCCTGCCTACCCCTATCACTTTGTAGAAAAAAGAATTGATTTCTTCTTCATTCCTGCTCTCATTTAAACGTTTTGCCTCGGCGAGGTTCAGTTTCAGCTTTTTCTCTATCTTCTTTTGAAAGATCTCGTCTTAACGACCACACTTTCCCATCCTCATCACTTTGTAATTTTCTAGCATTCCTTAGTACTTCTTCCATCTGTTTGGTACCATTTAGGGTGATCTTCAAAGGTCGATCTTTCCCTTTTACATATCTGCCTATTCTCCTGTAGTTGCAGACATTCTCTATGGTTGTAAGACCTTCCACGAGGCCAACAATTTTATCTACTACTTTTGCTTCTTCTACAGCTCTTTCTGACCTAGATGTTATCGCCTTTTCTTTGCAGCCAAAAATGATCAGGGACTTACTCCGATCAACTGTGTTTTGCACCAACTTCGGGTTAGATGCCAATTCTTTCCTCACTTCTAGCCTAATGTTTGTTTTATCTTGGTTGCTGCAGTGTTTGACTTCCTTTACTGCTTCTTCTATTTTTCCTTCTCCTTGGCCACTTGTGCATAAGTGAGTTGCATATCTTTCTTGCACTGTTCTATTCCCTGTGCAACTTCCTCCATCTGTGTTGACAAAAGCTGTTTCTCCTGTTGAAATTCCTTACCTAACCTATTGTAGTCATTTATGTTTAAATTTACTTTAACTTCTTCCAAAGCTATTTTTAAGAGTATTTTCTTCTTCCATGGCTTTGCAATTAGTTTCCAATTGAATCTTATCCTTGCGCAAGTCTTTCACTACACCCTCAAGACATACAACTTTGCTATTTAAATGGTCATTACTTTCTTTCAATTTACTAATTATTTCTACATGAGAGGTCACAATAGTATCTAATTTTACCACCTTGTTGTATAGACTGGTTATCTCAATGCTTTCTTCACTGAATCCAGCAAAATCAAGCTCTGTTTTGTATTTCCTCTTGCAGGCGGCCATCTTGAATGTTGTTCTCTGCACTGTAAACACTAGGGGTAACTTTTTCTCATCCACTATTTCACTTCCCTTGGCACATTCCTGTTATCTCACCTATTTTTCAAAAGCACTATACCTTTATGTTCTCTGGGACACCACTCACTATCATCATCCTGTACTACAATACTTAGGATTATTCCTAAGATTATTATTATTTATACTTAGGATGTGTGTGTGTGTGTACTCACCTAGTTGTGTTTGCGGGGGTTGAGCTCTGGCTCTTTGGTCCCGCCTCTCAACCGTCAATCAACAGGTGTACAGATTCCTGAGCCTATCGGGCTCTGTCAAATCTACACTTGAAACTGTGTATGGAGTCAGCCTCCACCACATCACCCCATAATGCATTCCATTTGTCAACCACTCTGACACTAAAAAAGTTCTTTCTAATATCTCTGTGGCTCATTTGGGCACTCAGTTTCCACCTGTGTCCCCTTGTGCGTGTTCCCCTTGTGTTAAATAGCCTGTCTTTATCTACCCTATCAATCCCCTTCAGAATCTTGAATGTGGTGATCATGTCCCCCCTAACTCTTCTGTCTTCCAGCGAAGTGAGGTTTAATTCCCGTAGTCTCTCCTCGTAGCTCATACCTCTCAGCTCGGGTACTAGTCTGGTGGCAAACCTTTGAACCTTTTCCAGTTTAGTCTTATCCTTGACTAGATATGGACTCCATGCTGGGGCTGCATACTCCAGGATTGGCCTGACATATGTGGTATACAAAGTTCTGAATGATTCTTTACACAAGTTTCTGAATGCCGTTCGTATATTGGCCAGTCTGGCATATGCCGCTGATGTTATCCTTTTGATATGTGCTGCAGGAGACAGGTCTGGCGTGATATCAACCCCCAAGTCTTTTTCCTTCTCTGACTCCTGAAGAATTTCCTCTCCCAGATGATACCTTGTATCTGGCCTCCTGCTCCCTACACCTATCTTCATTACATTACATTGGTTGGGTTAAACTCTAACAACCATTTGTTCGACCATTCCTTCAGCTTGTCTAGGTCTTCTTGAAGCCTCAAACAGTCCTCTTCTGTTTTAATCCTTCTCATAATTTTAGCATCGTCCGAAAAAATTTAGAGAAATGAATCGATACCCGAATCGATACCACACACACATCGATTCATCGATGTGTGTGTGTGTGTGTGTGTGTGTGTGTGTGTGTGTGTGTGTGTGTGTCTATATATATAAATGATACGGCTCCACAGGAGTGGCCCAAGATTCAGGGGTCGGGGTACTCTTGGGGAGCCGTAGATATCTGGTCAGCACAGTCCTCACTCTGAACGTTGGTCGGGCTCTTGTTGGGGTCTTTGGACCTTTCGCTGTTTGCACCTTTGACGGGACGACTGGGGAGGAGGCTCGCACTATTTGCTCACGCCTGATCCCACAATTTGTGGGTGTTTTGGGTCATTTCCTCCAGCCTGCAGTGGCGTTGGTTGGCTCCTCCTCCAGGTTCAGGGCTGGTGTGGGCTCCCAGCCGGTCTGCTTGTCTGTTTGCCAGGGGTGGTTCTTTCCCAGTGCACTGCATTCAGGTTCCTGGTGAACTGGAGGAAGTTCTATCTGATTCCGTCGCAATTTCGAACCTGGTTGGGTTTTGTTTGGGATTCTCGGACCGCTTCCCTGTCTCTCCCTCCAGAGGCATTGCTGCGGCTGCAGTCCTGCCTTCAGCTGTTGCTGGGGGGTGGGGGGGTCCTGGGTCACTGCAGTTGCTCGAACAGTTATGCAGGAGTCTGAACATCGCCATGCTGGTTTACCAGCTGGGTCGGGTTTGGCTTCGGCGTCTGTTCTGGTTCCTTTGGGAATGCCCCTTTCCCTCTCTCGTGATTGCAGTGGTTCAGCCTCTGTGATCCTTGCGTCAGTTGCTGCGTCGCCGGCTTCCTCTTCGTGTTTATTGGGGTTCAGTGTCTTGGCGCCTACCCGAGCCCTCACTCAATGTGTTCACAGACTCATCGTCTCTCGGCTGGGCCTTTGTGACCAGTGCTCACCAAGCCAGCCAGGGGTGGTGGGGGTCTGTCCTTCCATCGGGCTCACAGCATGGTGCGGGAGTTCGCGGCGATTTGGCTGTCACTTTGGAGGTCGGGTTTGTCTTCGGTGTCTGTTTTGGTTCTTTCCGGGACGTCCCTTCCGCCTCTCTCGTGATGGTTGGGTTCGTCCTCCGGGCGCCTTGTGTCGGTTGCTGTGTCGCCGGCTTCCTCTTTGGTGTTTTCAGGGTTCAGTGTCTAGGCGCCTTCCCGAGCCTTCGCTTGGTGTGTTCACGGACGCATCATCTCTCGGCTGGAGCTTTGTGACCAGTGCTCACCAGTCCGGCCAGGGACAGTGGGGTCCGTCCTGCCGTCGGGCTCACAGCACGGTTCGGGAGTTCGCGGCGGTCTGGTTTGCGCTTCGGAGGGTTTGGGTCACTCAGGGCTCTACCATTCGGCTCCATTCGGACTGTTCTCCGGTGGTTCATTGCCTGAACCGCGGGGGGTTCTCTTCAGTCTTTGCCTCTTTGGAGTTGGTCCCTTCAAGTGGCTTGTCAGCTGGATTCTTGGGGTTTGGCTCTCTGTGCTGTTCATATCCGGGGAGTATCTAACATCCTGGCGGACGGCCTGTCTCGGTTCATTCCCCTGCCCACGGAATGGACGGTTGACGCCGACTCGTTTCGTTGGCTCTGCCAGACGTACAGACTCCCGGACGTGGACTTCTTCACGTCAGAGTGGTCCCAGCATCTCCCAATCTATGTGGCGCCCTTTCCTGACTGCGGGGCGTTCGCGGTGGATGCCTTTCGGCAGGACTGGTCGTGGTGGGGTTACCTGTACCTCTTTTCCCCGGTCCAACTGTTGCTTCGGGTTCTGGCTCAGTTGGAGTCCTGCCCAGGGAGAGTATTCCTCGTGGCCCCTTGGTGGCTGGCCCAGCCTTGGTTTCAGGCGCTGCTTGCTCGGTGTTTGAGCTCGAGGAGTTTCCCACGGCTCTGCCTCTTTCAGCAGGTCGGACCAGTCCGGTATATGGCTGGTCTATATACAAATAGGAATATAGAAAGAGAGGAGGAGGAGGAATATAGAATGAGAGGAGGAGGAGGAGGAATATAGAATGAGAGGAGGAATATAGAATGAGAGGAGGAGGAGGATAGAATGAGAGATGGGGAGAGAAGCCAGAGAACACACACAAATGCAAGAGTGATAAATAAACAAGTAGGGTGAAGAAATGAGCATGTATGTTGAACCATACACTGGTACACTGATGGAAACTCTGTGTGCTGTATATTAAGTGTAAATTCTAGAATCCGTGTAACATGTCGCCTCCACAGGTCAAGTGGGACTCGATGAAGCCGAACTTGAAAATTTATTGGAAGAAACCACAGAGATATTTACGCAGAATCTTATCCAAGAAACTCAAGTAGCACGACAGCAACTTAGTGATCTTCAGGAGAGACATGACGCTTTCATCAAGTTGGAGAAATCTCTTATCGAGTTAAATAGTTTGTTTGTGGTATGTATTGCAAGTTTTCTGTGATGGAATGTCACTAGAAAACTTTTGTTGTTGCAGTATGTTATACAGTATATGGTTTTTAAGTATCAAGCTGTCATCAGAATTTAAGTAGAACATTATTTTGTGTAATTGTTTTGGACTTTGTACAATGGATTATTTTTATTACATTACAGGATAATAGTATATTACATTACCAAATAATATTTGTATGTTACTGTCTGCAGACTTCATTGAAGTAATATTCAGCATATTACATAAAATAAAAAAATTCTTGACTGAGAGGTTTGTTTTCCTGGGGGAGCTCCCCGGTGGCTCCTTGAATCTACCTCACTGAGATTGCTCCATTCTAATGGGTCACGTGAGACACAGGAGTTATGTTTGGCCTATTGGGGACATGAACCCGGCCTTCCACAGCACGCTGGACTTGTGATCCTGTGGTCCTGGGTTCGATCACAGGCGCCGGCGAGAAACATTGGGCAGAGTTTCTTTTACCCTATGCCCCTGTTACCTAGCAGTAAAATAGGTACCTGGCTGTTAGTCAGCTGTCACGGGCTGCTTCCTGGGGGTGGAGGCCTGGTCGAGGACCGGGCCGCCGGGACACTAAAAAGCCCCGAAATCATCTCAAGATAACCTTCCCTCACAGAGAGGCCGGGTTCAGAGATGAACCCGGCCAGAGTTCGGTGAGCACGGTGAGTAACATTCACTACCCACCAGGAAAAGTATCCAGAAAGTCAGCAAGGCAAAGTATCGAAATGACCAAAGAACTCCACAAATGATTCAAAATAAAACAATACTGTAGATTCACTCAAAACTAGCTCGGACTTGTTTGTACAGTACTGATAGCCACCACCAGGTGGCCCAGCCCCAGCCCACAGCTGGCCCAGCCCACAGCTGGCCCAGCCCACAGCTGGCCCAGCCCACAGCTGGCCCAGCCCACAGCTGGCCCAGCCCACAGCTGGCTACCTGATCATTTCTGGAGTTGTTGAACAACCCTCCAATGAATTAATGAACCTGAGTGGAAGAGGGAATCAGGGAGCCACTGGGGCTCTGCCAGAAAGAGGTATTTCATTATAAAGTATTCAATGCAGGGTTTCTGGGGCAGCCCCCATGACTTCCTGAAGCTAACTAGCCATGGAGAAAGAAAATGCCAGACTTACCAGGAAGAAAGTGAGGCAGCAGGTACTAATACGGAGGGAATTCAGATCGGGAGACATGACCCATAGCATCCCACAGTCGACTGGGACCTGGAACGTTAACCAAATAACAGCCTGCCAGAACCCTGATAGAATGAGAAAGCCCCCAAGCCTGAATATCAGCCCGAGACATGTTAAAAAGGCCAACATCAAGGCAGCATACTTGCAAACATCATAGGACCCAGAGAGGATCACAGGCTGGCTAGACTTAATGACACTGCAGATGACCTGGGAAATGGGAGCCTTAAAACTGAGGGGGCCAAGAAAACAGGATCAAGCAACAGTGTCTACTAAAGCAGAACTGTAGCATGTAGGTTGTGGTGAAGAGCCACCATCAGAGACAACAAGTTATGCATCACAATCCATCACAATCACAAAGGACCCCTTCAGAAGCTAGCTGACTCATTCTTTGCCAGAAAAAGATAAGGCTGCAAATGCACAAAGCGTCCACCAGGGCCATTGAAACAAAACTCACATCTCCCGAGAAGAGCATGAAACTTTCTGGAGGCAAGACCCAGCAAAAACATTGCCGTAAGAAATATCGTGAGCCAAAAGGGAAGCTGTAAACTGAGATGAGAAGAAACTGCAAAACCCTGTCAAGAGACCAGGACAGCTCAGAAGGAGCATTAGCATGCTGGAGGTGAAAAATTGCACAAGACTACCTATGGAATAGTACCGGAGAAGAGTTGCTACTAAATGAAAGCAACAGCAATCCTGCCAACACCCAACAATAAGAGGCGACGGTATTAGGCATGAGATGCAAATCAAGAATGATGCTTGATAAAAAGGACAGGACCACTCTGACCGAAAGAGAAAAAAATAAAGAGACAAACAGGCGAAGCAAGCACCGGTCAACTGCATGCTGCTGCTGCAAAGAAAGACAGGTGGGACACCAACGGACCAGCCACCTGCTCACCATACAAATGGAAGTAGACCTGTATCAAAAACTCCAGACACATAAAGCAGAGAACAAATTTTAATCAGCAAAGTACATCTCTGGGCCGACCTGCTGATAGAGGTGAAACAGCGGAAAAAATGTTTTGAGGCTTAATTTTCTGTCAACCTTACAGTTGTCTGTAAAGCTTCGTCGACTCTCTGGATGCTTTTCCTGGTGGGGCGGTGGATTGTCACTCACTCGCTGTACCTCTGTGAGGAGGCCAGGTTCTGACTCTGATCCTCGGTAGGCCAAAAAGACCACCTGTGACTGATGTGACCAATTAGAATGGAGAAGTCTCAGCAAGACAGCTTCAGAGAGCTACCACAACTACCAGAAAGAGGCATTCCATTACATTCATTGCTGGGTTATCCACAAGTATATTTTGAGTAACTATCACTTGAGTTGAAGCTACATAGTACAGTAATATCAAAATTCAATGCAGAGAATAAGTCACAGTAATGTGGATGAAACAAATAACCCAACCTGCACATTAAATGAAATTTCAATGATAACATTTCTGTCCCTCCTAGGCACTTATGACTTGACAAAGGTCCAGGATGGACCATAACTTTGTCAATTTCATTTAATTTTATACGGTATCAGTTCCAGTACCGATACCAAATGGTGGCTGCTATCTTGAAGGAAAGGGGGGGGGGGTGAGGGCATTAATAATTTTTCCTTATAGACCTGCATTGCAATTTCATTCACACTCAAATATTGTAAACTATTTAAGTAGCACTTAATTTCTTTCCTTGCTTCATGGGACTGCCTAAGTGTTGTAGAATTCATTATACAGTATACTGTATTGAAATTGTGGCTGGAGATTTGTATATAGTAATGTGAAGAGAGAAGTGGTAAGTGGTGGTCTTGCAGGAGAGCTCTTTGAATATAATCCTTATTTTACTCATATAAAGTTAAATTTACTCTGCATTGAATTTTTCTGGAATACTGTACATTCAATTGAGAAGATTGAGGCAACCTGTAATATGTTAGGAAGCATTATGTTCCCAGTATCATATATGCATGTTTTGTAAGTGATATAATTTATGGATTTTGTACACTAATATCATGATCATTTTGCAGGAAGTATTAGTTTTAGTGCAGGAACAAGGAGTGCAAATTGATAGAATAGAAAACAACATATTTGAAGCTCAGGCTAAGACAGAGAAGGCTAAAGTAGAACTGAGTTCTGCTCTTCAAAATCAGAAAAAATCGCGCAAGAAGAAGTTCATCATTGGCATCGTCGTGTCGGTGATCCTTCTCATCATCCTCCTCGTCATAATATTCTCTGTATGTAAATGCTAAATGTTTTATTTATTTACAGAGCAAAATCACCTGAACTAGTTTTGATATAATACATGATGCACTGTGGTAGCAAAATTTGAGTAGGTACTGTGTTTTATACTTATGTGAGAACTATGACTTAAGGTTGCTCATGTTACATTTGAAAAGGTACTATCTAACATGTTTATAAAGAGGTGAGGGAGGATTGGTTGGGAGGAGAGCACAGAGCGAATCGGATTTATGCACGAGTGTGTTATTTCACGAGTATATTTTTTTTTTTTTTTTTTTTTTTTTTTTTTTTTTTGAGATATATACAAGAGTTGTTACATTCTTGTACAGCCACTAGTACGCGTAGCGTTTCGGGCAAGTCCTTAATCCTACGGTCCCTGGAATACGATCCCCTGCCGCGAAGAATCGTTTTTTCATCCAAGTACACATTTTACTGTTGCGTTAAACAGAGGCTACAGTTAAGGAATTGCGCCCAGTAAATCCTCCCCGGCCAGGATACGAACCCATGACATAGCGCTCGCGGAACGCCAGGCGAGTGTCTTACCACTACACCACGGAGACTGTTAAAAAATCAGAAAGCGCAAGGATGTCTGGAATATTAATTGGAGTAGAATGCTCAGCTCAGTTGTACATTCTCTCAGCATCTCGTATGTGTATACACAAGTGTATACATCTTTTGCTTTGCTCTTACCTTCCTCAAAGATTTCCTTCTCCTCACCTCTCTCTTGCTATACTTATGCCCATGCCTCTCTCATCTCATCACAATCGACTTGATAATGGTCCACGATGGACTGAAGCGTCATCGTCTCTTCATCTTCTAGTGTGTGGTTTGGTCAACACACTAGTGTGTAATTGCCCAAGTGTGCTACAGAATGAGAGCTTATATTTACCTAAGTGTAGTTACAGGATGAGAGCTACACTCGTGGTGTCCCCGTCTTCCCAGTACTCTTTGTTGTATAACGCTTTGAAACTACTGACAGTTGTGGCCTCCACCACCTTCTCACTTAGCTTGTTCCAATCATCTATCACTCTGTTTGGAAAAGAAAACTTTCTAATGTTTTTTCAGCACCTTTCTTTCCTTAGCTTGAATCTGTGTCCTCTTGTTCATGAAGTTGCTGGTTTCAGGAATTCTTCTTTGTCAGTTGGGATGATTCCTGTTAGTATTTTGTAAGTGGTGATCATATCACCTCTTTTTCTTATATCTTCTACTTTTGGCATGTTTAACGTCTCTAGTCTCTCCTCGTAACTCTTGTTTTTTCAGAATGAGAGGAGGAGGAAGAGGAATATAGAATGAGAGGAGGAATATAGAATGAGAGGAGGAGGAGGAGGAATATAGAATGAGAGGAGGAGGAGGAGGAATATAGAATGAGAGGAGGAATATAGAATGAGAGGAGGAGGAGGAGGAATATAGAATGAGAGGAGGAATATAGAATGAGAGGAGGAGGAGGAGGAATATAGAGGAGGAATATAGAGAGGAGAAATATAGAATGAGAGGAGGAATATAGAATGAGAGGAGGAGGAGGAGGAATATAGAATGAGAGGAGGAATATAGAATGAGAGAGGAGGAGGAGGAATATAGAATGAATATAGAATAGAATGAGAGAGGGGAATGAGAGAAGCCAGAGACACACACACAAATGCAAGAGTGATAAATAAACAAGTAGGGTGAAGAAATGAGCATGTATGTTGAACCATACACTGGTACACTGATGGAAAATCTGTGTGCTGTATATTAAGTGTAAATTCTAGAATCCGTGTAACATGTCGCCTCCACAGGTCAAGTGGGACTCGATGAAGCCGAACTTGAAAATTTATTGGAAGAAACCACAGAGATATTTCTGTTCCAGAAGCCATTTTGTAGCATGCTTTTGCACATTATCCAGTTTATTTATGTGCTTCTTGAGATTTGGGCACTATACACCTGCTGCATATTCCAATTTTGGTCTCACAAAAGTCGTGAACAGTTTCTTCAGTATTTCACAATCCATATCATTAAAAGCAAGTGTGAAGTTTGAAAGCGACGCACAGGCTCGTCT